ATTCCTCTCCTGTGCTCTTCTCTTTCTCACACCTGGAATTCATTAAACCAGCTCAGTTAGTTCAGCCTGCTCCTAGTGAACCCCACATCCTGGATTTAAGATTCACTCAAGTCACTCATTGATTTGGAGCATTCAAGTTTGTGAACATCTTTTGTCTGCTCTGCTCACTATTGTGGCGTATCTGATCTAGGATAAGGGGCACAGGGATATAAGTGAGTAGACTCTATAAAATTGGGTGATGAGTGTGGAGAGATACATTCAGTTCATTGACTGGTAGTGGTGGGTGTGCTATTGTAGTTTATATTCACTGTTCAGTTTTTATAATCCCCTATAACCCATACAAACAAATGGCTAGACTAGAAGCTGAGACTTTAGTTTCGTCTTCTGTTTGATCTGCTCTAGTTATAAATGGTAATAAACTATGAGCAGAGTAAAAGCAGATTTTAAATTTTTTTGTGGGTAAATAGGTAAAACTGCTGTTTGAAGGATGGTCTGATAGATGGTAGACTGAGCATGTCAATGGTCTTGACAAATCCCTTTTTAAAGCTGAAGTCCAAATCAATCACTAAAATGAGATTTACAGATATTATACAGTGTTGGTTCATTGCTTTGACTGAAAATAAGTGAGTCACAGCTTTCCCTTTATGTGTTAGGTGCTCAGGAGCTTAACTGTTCCCTTGTATGATATATGGTTGACAAAAAGGAATGAAGAAAAATTCAAAAGGCACACAGTAGCACACGGTTCTCTTTTTATTACGATAAAGTTTCAAATTCACTAAACAAGATGACTGATAAAAAAACAAAGATTAGATTGTCTGGAATTAAAACCTCTATAGTGACAACAATATTCTTATTCCAGCATGGTTCAGCGTGTAGCAGTGATCGGCGCTGGCCTCTCTGGGCTGAGCTGTATCAAAACCTGTCTGGAGGAGGGACTGCAGCCCACCTGTTTTGAGAGAGCAGCCAGGATATTGGAGGGGTCTGGAGATACAAGGTGAGCTGTGTCTTTTTTTTAAAAATTCATGTTTCAGTTTCAGTTTGAAGTAACAATAGTAAGAGTACAGGTTAGTGAGCCTACTTGGTTGTCCATGTTTGGAGTTGGAGAGAAACCTGTTTAGGTTGGGTCATCAAAATCCTATCCTGTATAATATTGTTATTGAAGGCAACGCAAGGCAAGTTTATTTGTGTAAGTGCTTTTATAGAAAAAAGATCATTATCACTAATGAGTGCAGTTAAAATTCTTCAGGCACAGCTATGCACAGCTGACCAGAACCATTTTAGCCTGGATTTAAACATTGTCAGAGCAGAGGCCTGTCTCATCTTCAGAAAGACTGTTCGAGATTTTGAACTGCATAACACTGAAATGCAGACCCCCTATGTTTAGTCCTGACTCTTGGCACCAGCAGGTGGCCGGTCTTTTAGTCCCTCAGAGTGTTAAATGGTACACATGGTACAAATAAGTCAGATATGTACTTGGTGTACTTTGGTGTCTCAAAAACATTTTACATGGTGTAAACGTTTTAAATCCTACATGGCTCTCTATAACATTTAATCCATAAATTTGTCAAATTCCAGGAGCAGCCTGAGCCGGGCAAGGCCAACATCTACCAGTCTGTGGTGGTTAACAGCTCCAAAGAGATGATGGCATACAGTGACTTCCCTCCTCCAGCAGAACTGCCCAATAACATGCACCATTCTGAGGTCCTGGGTTACCTCCGTCTCTATGCCGACCACTTCAAACTCCTGCCGCACATACAGTTTAAGGTTTGGGATGGGATGGTTTTGGTCTTAATTAATTAAGTTAATTAGTTACTTTTTAATCTGGTTGTTTTAATGCTGCAATCACATTGTCAGACTACAGTGCAAAAAGTGAGACAGACTGCAGATTTTGCATTGACCGGACAATGGGAGGTGTACACAGAGAAACAAAATGGACAGAAGGACACCCATGTTTTTGATGCAGTGATGGTTTGCACTGGACACTTCACACATCCTCGTCTTCCTCTGAAAGACTTCCCAGGTGTGAGCATTTATATAGTCATAATTTTGAACAAAGCTATGGTATCCGTAATAATAAGATTTTGTTCATTTTAGGTATTGAAAATTTTGAGGGCAGATATTTCCACAGCTGGGAATACAGGAATGCACAAGGTATGGAGGGGAAAAGAGTGGTGGTAATCGGGATTGGGAATTCTGGGGCTGACATTGCTGTGGACATCAGTAGAGTTGCGGAAAAGGTAACCAATTGAAACCTAAGGCATTTTACTTTACTTAACAAAAATTATATATGTAAATATGACATAATGTCACTAGTTTGTAAAGCCAAGACCCAATTCTAGATAGAGCTATATCTACAGCTATATAATAAAATAAAGCTATCCACATCAGTATATAATTCTCATCATTCTAACCACAGAATATACAGTATAATGCAATGAATAAGTTTGTTCTGTGTACAGGTGTATCTCAGTACCAGGAATGGTACATGGGTAGCGAGTAGAGTGGGACCAGGGGGGTTTCCCTTTGACATTACCATTTCCCGCATGGACCAGTTTTGGGGGACTTATTTTCCATCCTGGTCCAACAAGAATGTAGAGAAGGCACTGAATGAGCATTTTGATCACACTTTATATGGTCTCCAGCCAGCGCACAAGTAAATCATTTTTATATAGTATATCAACCATATACATGTAATCTCTTCATTAAATGCAAATAATATCATGTTGCAGTTTTTTTGCACGGATACCTGTGGTGAATGATGAGCTCCCAGCACGGATCATTTCAGGAAGAGTACGGATCAAACCAAATGTCAAAGAGTTTTCTGGCTCCAGTGTTTTCTTTGATGATGGCACCGTCATGGACAAGGTATTTTAGCTATAGGAGGTTCTAGGTTTAAGTCAGCTCTGTGAGTAAGTGGGCCAAGGGTGTACCAAATCATTGACCATGTACAAACAATATAAAATACTGACATGGACACTAGAAGAAATGTTTTCTATTTTAAACAATAAAGTGTTAATTTTGCCCTTGCAGTGTCTAAAAGTAAATAGATTTATTTGTCTAAATTAATTCTTTTATAACTTGTGAGAATTGCTTTGTGTAAAAATGTGTCATAGAATGGCAGGATGTTTATTTTAACTCAGGCCCAGGTCACATTTGACATGTGACTGAGGAGTGAGTGTGAGTCTTTACAGTATATCTTGTCTACTTTGAGGTGGATGTGGTGATCTTCGCCACTGGGTACGACTACAACTTTCCCTTCCTGCCTCAAGAGCTACAGAAAAAAACTGGCTACAGGCTGCGTCTCTACAAACAAATGATTCCTCCATCACTGGCCCATCCCACTCTGGCTGTGGTCGGCCTCATAAACGCACTAGGAGCGGTCAATTGCTTGTCCGAGATGCAGGGGCGCTGGGCTACAAGGGTCTTCAAAGGTAGATTACATATAAATGATATGGCTCTGTAGAGTGTTAAAAATGCTGAATGTCTCCATTTGTTTAATTTTGACATTTCTCTTTGTGTCTTTTACAGGCATCATAAAGCTACCTTCAGAAGAAACAATGAACAGAGAAATAGAAAAGGAGACAGAAATCATGCACAAGTGGTAGGCAAAATTATTTTACTTGTTAAAGGGATTTGTTTTTAGGTAGAGAGCCTATTGCCTTCTTTTTTCCCATGAAAATGTTGTTTTATCTGGAATGCTCCACAAAATAAAACACCTGAAATTGAATAAATGAAAGATGGACCTACTGGATAACACTGAAAATTCCCTGCAAAGTAGTTGTCTTATGAAAATGTGATAATCAGGTGATGGACCCGCCACAAGAAAATGTCATTTTACATATTGCACCTATTAAGTTAAAAAAATAAAATAAATACATTGCACATTGCATAAAGTGTTGATTCAACAAATCTCTTCTAACTCTGTCTGTGGTATTTGCCTGTAGCCTTCTATAATGTGCGGTAACAGTTAGTGTTACAAATGTGTATATAACAAATCCAAATGTTTTAATGCAGTTCTCTGTCTGTAGGTTTTCCTGCTCAGAGCACAATCCTCTTCAGCTCTTCTACATTCCTTACATGGATTATTTGGCTAAGCAGGTGGGGGTATTTCCCAACTTGCTGTGGCTCTTCCTCACTGACCCTCGCCTGGCTGTGCAGGTCCTCTTTGGCCCCTGTACCTCTTACCAGTACCGCCTGACCGGGCCAGGGCGGTGGAGTGGAGCACGCCAGGCCATCCTCACTCAATGGGACCGTGTGTATCAGCCCTTCAAAACCAGAGTGGTGCCGAAGCCGGAGAGAAAACCCAAGTCCAAACTAAAATTCACTGTCATACTGTCAGGAACTGCACTCATGTTTTACTTACTGTACAAATGACAACTTTTGCCAAAAGTTTCATTGATAACATTGTAATATTTGTACTTGTATTTGTATAAAATTGTTTCATCTACACCTATAATTAATTTTTCAACTACTACAACTTTTAAACATTTTAATCACAGCTATAATACTTTAATAGAGTAGACAATCAAAGTCAGCAATTTATCCAAAAATAAAACATGTACTCTGACTATGGTTTCAATATTTTTAAGAGGAGGTCTTGCTTCTAAGCTCCAGCAGATGGCGATTTTGTAATATTTTGGCAATTCCAGCGGAACGGATGGAATGATTTACACTGATTGCGTAATAAAATGTTTCAACAACAAAATAATAAAGTTTTGTTGGGTCTGTATTGGATATTTTTTGCAAACAACAATGAAACAAAGTCTTTTGGCAAATAGACAATACAACAATTAGAGAGATAAATAGTTTGGCTTTTGAGTCCATTTAGTAAGTTCATATTATATTGCTTATGTGTTTCTTGATTTAGCAATAGGCTTTTTTTTTAAACACGATTGGACACTTATCATACTTTATTTGAATTTGTTCCAGATCTATCATGATATCTGGGTATACAACCGTGCCCAGCGTGGTTTTCAATCAAGATACTGTTTACTTTTCCTCTGTGCTTGTCCTCTTCCGTGGACTCAAGGGTCAATCCAGGCTGTTCCAGAGCACGTACTCCTCCACTCCGCCCATCGTATTTATGCTTCTTCAAGTCGGTCAGTGTTCTTTTTACACCGCTCTGGAAGACACCACTGGGTAAGTTTTCTGAAACGCAGTGACTGCATACTATATATGTGTTTTTAAGTGTATCCTACCTCAGACACAGCGCCTGTAGCCTAACCGACGCAACTGTTGCCTTTCTTGCACTGGGCGAACCCACAGGCGGACATAGCCTTTTTCACTGAAGTTGAACATCTGCGTTTTGTCGTTTGCAAAGAGCCTTCTGCAAAGCTGCTTAACTACCAACAGACCAATGCGTAATTTTAACATAACATGTGTAAACTTGTCTCTAAAGTGCATAAAAAGACAACAAAAAAACTCCCCCCTTTTCATTACGTCACTCTGATAAACATATAGAGTAAAAGTCGCTGAGGGGGGTTGATGTGGTATCTGTCTTGTTGCAGTCAAAATAAATAAGAACTCAAAAGGAAAGTGAACATGAGTCGTCGCGTGGCTATCGTTGGAGCGGGTGCCTCGGGTCTGACCTCCATCAAGTGCTGCCTGGACGAGGGTCTGGAGCCGGTGTGCTTCGAGAGCAGCGATGACATCGGGGGACTGTGGAGGTACAAGGTGGGCTCCTCATAATAAGACTTAGTGCATACATGAACTGCATGTAACTGAACAATAAGTACTGTCGTTGTGTCTTTGGGTATGACAACTCAATTCACCAACCTTTTATAAGAAAGAATGAGATTGTTGATGGTACTCAGCAACTACACTTCTGGCCTCCTACACCTGGCCAGCTGTGTATACCAAGTGTATATCTAAAAGACTAATAGCATCATTATTACTTATTTACTATGTTACAGGAGAACCCAGAGCCGGACAGGGCAAGCATCTATCATTCTCTTATCATCAACACATCCAAAGAGATGATGTGTTTCAGTGACTTTCCCATTCCTGGACACTATCCAAACTTCATGCACAACTGTTTTATAATGGACTACTTCCGGTTATATGCCAACAACTTCAACCTCCTCAAATACATCCGCCTGCAGGTTTTGCACATATCTTTATTTAAAAACAACAAATGAAAAGGACATGTTTTAGTAAAGAAATAACATGGAATATATTTAATGTGCTCTGTCTTTTCTATATTTAGACCAAAGTGTTGCACATAAAACAGCGGTCAGACTTCTCTCGCACAGGCCAGTGGGAGGTAGAGACAGAAAACAAAGAGGGCAAAAAGGAGAGGCACATTTTTGATGCTGTGATGATCTGCATTGGACACCACTGCCAGCCCAATTTGCCTCTTCATGACTTCCCAGGTACAGCTCAGCTATAAAATCAAGATATCAATTAATTTGCCCATTTGTCATTTGTTTGCCCAAGTTTGGAGTGCGGTGTTGATAATAAATTAAAATTATTAAACATTAATCAGAGTATAGATAATACTGTTTGATTAAAAGTAATTAATAACTTAAGGGCATTTTAAGAGATAATGCTGTAGACTGTGGTCTATTATCCCGATATCCTGAGCCAACACAAATAATATTTTCTCAATTACTTCTGTATTCATGTTGCGTAAGTATCTCTGGTAAATGATTAATTCTCATCATCCAATTGCCACCTTAGACAATATATAGCGAAAGTACACTTGCTAATGGACTAAGACTTGGATATGCATCTATGCAGGTGAACAGAAGTAGGATATTAATCGTTAAATTGAGGCTAAGCAAAAATAAACTGCTGAACTTGGTTAGAATATGGTAAACCTGAACTAAACCAGATCTGAACAATGAATAAATCCAGAACTAGAATCAGTATGGCCTGGAAGGAGCCCATATACCACCAGAGGTAACCAAACACCTCTTTTGTAACATCGGTGTCTCACAATATTTTGATCAAATTTTTCAGGGATTGATACCTTTACTGGAAAGTATTTTCACAGCCGAGACTACAAGACTCCTGAGGTTTGGAGGAATAAGAAGGTTGTGGTGATTGGAATAGGAAACTCTGGAGGAGACATTGCTGTGGAGTTGAGCCGATTTGCAAAGCAGGTACACATCACTGTTGGCATATTTATCCATGACAGTATGTAAGCTACACATTATACTATGAAGTAGGAAAAACATTTGTATGCATGTTATTTTAATTTGGACCAAATATTTACTTGCAGCTGATGTAAATAAATATTCAACACAACTGAATATTTCAGTTTAAAAGTTCAAATTTATTACTGTGTATCATCTTTTGGAACAGGTTTACTTGAGCACTCGAAGAGGAGCTTGGATATTGAATCGAGTTGGACACCAGGGCATGCCTTTAGATTTATATTTTAACCGTGTCGTACGTTTCATTCGGACCTTGCTTCCTTTCGGAATGTTCTGCACTCTGGGCGAAAACCAACTGGACCAAAGATTCAACCATAGTCTGTACAACCTCAGACCCAAACACAGGTGGAGGCCGCTTCTCCCTCTTTGGTTTTAACGTAGCCTTAGATGTGATCGCTTGCATTGTGGATTTTACTCCCTTGTATGACTTGTAGGGAAACATAATTGTTGTTCATTAATGAAGATTTTTTGATGTACATACTTCACAAAATTGAAGGACTTTTATTGTGAAATACTTACCCTTTATTATTTGTTTCAGGCTGTTGAGTCAACATCCCACAGTGAATGATGACCTGCCCAATCGCATTCTTGCCGGAATGATCCAGGTAAAACCCAACATCCGGAGGCTTCAAGGCTCCAGTGTTGAGTTTGAGGATGGAAGTGTTGTCGAAGATATTGATCTTGTGGTACATACACTTTTATGCTTATCACCATTTGTTTATTCTGAAGTGATCTTCAAATGAATAATATGACCACACAAATATCTTATTCTTCTAGGTTTTTGCTACTGGTTATAAGTTCTCCTATCCATTCCTTGCATCCCAAGTTGTTTCAGTGTCCAATAATAAAGCGTCTTTGTTCAAGTATGTGTTTCCACCTGAGTTGGACAAACCCACTCTGGCCATCATTGGTCTAGTGCAACCTCTGGGGGCCATCATGCCCATCTCTGAGATGCAGGCCAGATGGGCCACACGGGTTTTCAAAGGTGACTAATTGTTATAGATTTATTAGAATTGTTGTCAACTGCGATATTTATAAACTTGAATTATGCTTCAGGTCTTGTCAAGCTGCCTTCAACTTGTGTCATGCAAAGAGACATCAGATGCAAGGAGGAGACAATGGCTAAAAGGTAAAGTGAGATAGAAAAAACAACAGTACAAAATAAAGAGATTTTAGGCCTGTTTCTAATGTGTATGCTTTCACATTTAGAAAAAAAAAGGTGTTAATTTAGTAATAAATGAATAATAATAATAAATAATACAATTTCCATAGATATTCACTTCAAGTGTCTCCAAGAACCCTTGCCAGCACGGTGTTTGCATAGCAGGCAGAGAGTGCAGTTTAAGTTACAACACAAAAGCATAAACCATACTACACTTAAGCTATATTTTAAATATATATAAATATCTTCTTATTAGTCTATTTTTTTATATGTATGTTATTCTATCAAATGCTTCACCATCATATTTTATCACACCAATGCTTTCTTCACAACAGAATACACAAAATCAATCCAGACTTAAGGTTGTGATAAAATCTATAACTTGTGGTAAATCTGTTTTACAGGTATGTTGCCAGTCAGCGGCACACCATCCAGGTTGACTACATTGACTACATGGATGAAATTGCAAAGCAATTCGGTGTGACTCCAAACTTCTTAAAGTTGATGGTGACCGACCCCAGGCTCTGGTCCAAAATAACGTTTGGTCCTGCCACTCCATACCAGTACCGCCTGAGGGGACCGGGGAAATGGGCGGGGGCACGGCAGGCCATCCTGACCCAGTGGGATAGGGTTGCTGAGCCCATGCAGACCCGGCCATGCAATGATCCCAACCCTGAATCACAGAGGGCGTGGTGGCCCTTCATTTTGACGGTTGCCATGGGATGGGTTGTGTATGTTAACTGGAGCAGCATATTACCTCTGGTGCAGGATCCCAGTGCACTGTCTGACAAGATAAAATGTTTCTTATTCAGACAATAAAATAGCCTTGACATTGTTCCATGCCAGTTTTATATGGAACATCTATTTTGTTCTTTTGCTCTATTTAGCTTATAACATTAGCAACAAATGCAGAAATTAATACTAATATTTGATTACCAAACTTAAGCTACAGTATATCCAGTCCTGGTGCATGTCGACTGTAGGCTATTAGCAGATGTTATTTTGTTTTTAAACTATAGCCAATTTCAATTTGTCAATTAAGCCTTAACAGTTTTTGCGCATATTCCATTTTTGTTTTGGATGAAAACTTTGCTGAGCTTTACCCCAATTGCTTTTGATGTTTGATTTTGAAGTTGTCGTGACTACATACGGGTTTAGGGCTGTGTATTGCCAAATACCTCATGGGGGTATACAGGGGCCGCAATATGATACATATCCCGAAACTCCGGTTGTTAAATTTGACTAAATCAATATTTTTATTGTGTACGTAGAATTACAAAATGCATTGGAATTTTGCATCCACAGTGCCCTTAATATCAGAACACCATTGTCCTTTGAATAAGTCACCTTCTCAGCAGGTAGGTAGTTACAGATCAGTCAATTTATAATGGATGTATATTTTAAAAGTATTACAAATCACAATACGCTTTTCTGTATCACTACACATATTGATATTTTGAGCACAGTCCTAAGAAGGGTATGATGTAAAAGCATTAGTTGCTGTTGTTTTGGACTTCCTACAACCTGCTTTTGACTAATAAATGCTTTATCATTATTGCTCATTACCTCTGCTGCAGGATCCTAGTGCACTATCTGACAAGATAAAATGTTTCTTATTCAGACAATGAAATAGCCTTGACTTTGCTCCATGCAAGTTTTACATAAACTTTAGATACAGTATATCCAGTGCTGGTGCATGTGTGCCATAGGCTATTAGCAGATGTTATTTTGTTTTTTAAACTTAAGCTAATTTGGATTTGTCAATTAAGCCTGGCCTGAAATAAACAGTTCTCAAAACGGTCATTTTTTTTACTGCCTCATACATCATATGAACTTGTCTTTCAAGGATTGTGGCTATTTCAATCAAAAGTAACCCGTGAAATATATTAATTTAACTGAAATCAATGTGAACACAATTTTGTATTTGAATAGGCCTATATAAGCCACTGTCTTTTAATGTTATTTAAAGTGTAAGTTTAAAAAGTACAAAACAATTAGGGCCAGGCATAGACAGTATGATGAAGAATGGACTATAGGCCTACAGTCTCAGTATGCGCAGACTGTGGCTGTAACCACTTAGGTCTATGTGTCAAGATTCATGAAATACACTGCTACACGTTGGACTTCAAGGGCCTAATACGCGTTGGAGGTGGTTGGAAGTGGAAGCCGGTGGACCCCGGAACAAGAATGGTTCACACGTCTTGTTTATCGTAAGGGTTGCCAGATTTACCGTGTACAGTGTGATAATATAGCCTTCCTGTCCTGAATGAGAATTACTGATCCCGGTTTTGTTACAGCGCCTCCCTCAGGAAGATTGTGCTGAAATCACAGTCTATTGCTAAAATGTGCTTTACGTATTTTTTATTGGTTCTAGATGAGTAATTTTTTTCATTGGAAATAAATTGTAATAATAAATTAAAAGATAGGCTTAAGGCTCATAGCCTATTTAACTGTTCTGGGTGAAGACTGCCTATAGCTACTTAGACGAATGCATTCTGGCTACAGGTCAGATCTGTGGAGAGGCAACCCCACTTACAGGTTTTCCAGATATTTTGAGCAATAAGATACAAATAACTGTAAGATAAAATGGCCTTGCCATACAATTGAGCATTTTAGGAAAAAGCTATTATATCTCTATCGAAAGCAAGTGACAGACCTCCACCAAAATACTGCACTCCACCAGAATAGTGCACCTTTAACTAAACACAGATTTTTGTTCGATTATTAGGCACCATCAGGATGTACAGTGCAACATGCTCAATAGTTATTTGGAATGTGTTAATAGTGCATTCTTCTGAAATAAACGTAAGGGGCTGCCCCACTGCTGATCCGGGGACTCCTCTTGGGCTGGATGCTGTTAGAGAAAGACTGTGGGACATATCTGGCAACACAGTCTCCATCTTTGATTGTGCGACAGGCCGCGGCGCGAGCGGGGCCTCACTGAACTGAAACGGTCTGGCACGAGATAACGGAGACACTTTGACCCACGGGAGGACCGCAGACCGGCCCCCGCACAGAGCCCACTAGGCGAAGAGGAACTGTTGGCTTCAACATTTGCACAACTTAAAACAGGACCGGTGCATGTTAATAGTAGTTTACTGTTAGCGTGTTAAGTGGCTAACTATTGCTAGCCTTACTGGGTTAGCACAGCGGGCTAGCAAGCTTTTTGTAATCCGCCGGGCAGACACAGTGGTTCTGTGCTAATCAGGCCCAAACCGGACTGAAGTGAGACCGTAGAGCCGGCACAGACACACAGAGAGCTCCGGCGGTGGCAGGTGAGTGTGCACATCCGCAAGATTAAACTTGTTCACTATTGCAGGTGTTGTGTCCCTGCAGCGTTAGCTGCTTAGCATGCTCTGACCACTGACTGGCTGAGAGTGATGTGATGGCGACTGCACAGAAACGAAACTGTGTTAGCTCAAGGGTCCAGGCTGCTGACCTTTATTCTCACATACCATGCTCTATTTCTTACACGTGCTGTTAATGGCAGGGCTGCTGAATGGCCTGTAATATATACTAGTGTTCGGGGGCTTTGTGTCCAGTCTGGGACAGTTCCGGACCTGATGGGGCCTGTAGAGCTGCCGGTATGAGCCACCCAGCCCCAGCCCACCGGGTCTGATTCATGCAGTGGGATGGCCTGCGGACTCTTAACTTTAGCTCATTTACAGCCGTCTGACAGCTTGTTCTAAGGGCCCCTCATGTGGCTGAATTTGCTGAAAATCTAAGTCTATTATATAGTTTATTGGTGGTGGCTGGGTGATATCCTGCTGTTTCAATACTAATCTGCAACCATTAACCATACTATGAAAATATTGCATGTAGTCACATTTTGTTCTCTTCATGAAACTATCTCACCTGTGCCATAACACAGATGTATCAACTAGCCTTAATCTTCATTTGTTCTATAATTTTATTCTTTGCATTATGAAACATTGTGATCTTATAAACTATTATGAATATTTTTACATCCATGATAGGTGGAAAAGAATTGCCATACATTTATATGTATGTGTATAGACTGATGATTGATGTCAGGCTGAGTGGGCTATTTCATTGACGGAGATTTAAGCCACATCTAGCACCTCTTTGACCTACTCAGAGATCAATACTTGATCAATTGTCTCAAGTCTCTGCATCTGTCTGGTTTTACAATGGTCACCACTGACCACATGTGCTACTGGAGACAGGCCTCTCTTTTCTGTGTGATGTAAAGGACATGCACTCTGTTCGGCACCTTCATTTGTGGCTTTGTTAGTTTTTGTATTATTCTGATGTCTCAATGGAATAAGGATACCTGGTTATGATACAGTTTCCTGATTCATAAAGTTGTTTAACATAATCTGTTCATTAACAGGTCCACCAACCCACAGGTTGACAGTGTAATTCCAGCTCCCATGCTGTCGTTGTGTCCTTGGGCAAGACACTGTTCTGAAAAGTTTTATGCCAGGTGTGCTAGTCAACAGTATTTGCACATATTCCATTTTTGTTTTGAATGAAAACTTTGCTGAGCTTTACCCCAGTTGCTTTTGATGTTTGATTTTGAAGTTGTCGTGACTACATAAGGGCTTAGGGCTGTGTATTGCCAAATACCTCATGGGGGTATACAGGGGCCGCAATATGATACATATCCCGAAACTCTGATTGTTAAATTTGACTAAATCAATATTTTTATTGTGTACGTAGAATTACAAAATGCATTGGAATTTTGCATCCACAGTGCCCTTAATATCAGAACACAATTGTCCTTTGAATAAGTCACCTTCTCAGCCAGCAGGTAGTTACTGATCAGTCAATTTATAATGGATGTATATTTTAAAAGTATTACAAATCACAATACGCTTTTCTGTATCACTACACATATTGCCAAGAAGTCTGTGATGATATTGCCATATTGATATTTTGAGCACAGTCCTAATAAGGGTATGATGTAAAAGCATTAGTTGCTGTTGTTTTGAACTTCCTAAAACCTGCTTTCGACTAATAAATGCTTTATCATTATTGCATTTGGATGCATGTCACTGCTGAAGATGTTTACTCCAGTATTTGATTTACAGCAATGTAACTAAACTGAATGATGAACTTTTTTCTTTTCTGTTTGTTTGCCGGGTCATAAAGGAGGCTGGTTCTGGGGGCGCGGCCAGAGGACCAGACTCAATGAGTTTCCAGCGAAATGTCAGAGAAGTCAGGGCAGAGCACCAAGGCAAAGGATGGCAAAACCAAGTATGCGACCCTTAGCCTCTTCAACACCTATAAAGGCAAATCTCTGGAAACCCAGAAAACTGCTGGTAAGTTCAAACAGTCAAGTAGAGGTGTGAAATCAATCACACATTTTGCTGTTATCTAAACAATGTGAAAAAGTAAAAATGCAGGGAGGTATATCCCACAACAATTTATACCTGCCTTTATGAGGTCAAACTCAAAGTGTTGTTCCTCAATAGAGGGAAAAAAAATACAATAAAGTAGTTATCTGAATCTAAGTAATGGTCTTTCAGTTAATTAAAATACAACAGCTCTATTTTACATAAAAAAAATGTAAAATGTTTACAGTTGCATCTGTGAAGCTTTTTTTTCTTTTGGTTTCAGTTGCTGCCAGACATGGGCTCCAGAGTTTGGGCAAAGTTGCTATCAGCCGGCGCATGCCCCCGCCAGCCAACCTGCCCAGCTTGAAGGCAGAAAACAAGGGAAACGACCCCAACGTCAACATCGTTCCCAAAGACGGCAGTGGCTGGGCATCGAGAACCGAGACGGGGGAAGAAAGGTAAAACTGTCTGTACTTGTTCATTTACACTGGGGCATTAAATTGTATAAAGAATTTTTTTTACTTTATTGTTTTAATTTTTTCCATAGACAACAGGAAACTCCTCCACCTCAGATCAAGCCAGTGACGCAAGAGGTTTCAACTGGAGGGAGTCGGTCTTGGGCTAACAGCAAGCAGAGTCTAGACGGTACATTAACTGTCATAGCTCCATGCTGCACTTATATAACATTGATGCAAACTGTAGTGTTAAATGTAGTATACTCTAATGCAGGAGTTCCACGTGTGAGCAGCCATTTTCACCAGGAGTTTCCGAGCTTACAGGCTGCTGGAGAAGCTGAGAAAGGAGATGGTTCAGAGGAAGAGCCCTATGGACCTGGACCCAGTCTCAGACCTCAAAGTATGGACTGTTTTTCATTTGGAAGGGAGAAGTAGTCAAATTCAGAATTAACAGAGTTCTGTTTTTGTAGATGTTGGTAGTTGGCGTGAGGGTGGAGGGAGAAATCTGAACACTGCCCCCAGCCCCTCTGAGATGGACAGCAGGCCTCCAGAGGAGGGCAGTTCGGGCCAAGGTTCTTCAACACCTCCTGTGGAAGCTGATGAGCCCACTCGAAATGTGTCATCAGACAAAAGGGACCGAGGACCACCCCCAGGCCCTCCTCAGCCTAAACTCAACGGGGGACAGCCTCCTCCCTCTGGGATGCCAACGCACTTTGACCCTGCTTTTAGAAGCATGATGCCACCTTATGTAAGTCCTTAGACTAGAGCACTGTTTCACTGTTCACATTTTACTGTTATTAAATTTGGGCTCTTTGTGTCAGATGTTCCAGGCCTATCCTACTCAGATGCCTTTTGGAGCTACACAAGGAAATTTCAGATTCACTGCACCTCAAGATGGCTCAAAGTAAATTACAATAGCAACGCTTGTGTGTGTGACGTTTGTGTGTTAATTTTTTTCTCACAATCTTAATTAATCAATTTTCAGGGGATCACGTTCGGGACGAGCTCAGCCACCTCCTCCTCAGTCCTGGCTTCAAGACCCAGACCGACCTTCTATTATCAGTGCAACTGAACTGAAAGAGCTGGACAACTTGGACACGGATGCAGATGAAGGCTGGGCAGGTCGCTATCCAGAGATGTGATTTTTGTTTGAACTCCAAGTCAGTATCTTATTTTACTTTTTTGGTTTATAGGTGCTCAAATGGAAGTAGATTACACAGAGAAGCTAAACTTTAGTGACGATGATGAAAACCAGTCTAAGGACAAAGGCGAAAACTGGTCTGTTGTATTACATGTTCGTCTGCTCTGAAATATCAGAATGTAGATTGACGCATGTGATTCTTTAGGGAATGGATGGGGAAGGTGGAGCGTCTAAGGTCACGGGCCCCAGACTCACAGGAGGGCTGGAAGGACATCTCTGATGGACGTGGTGGCAGTAAAGGCTCCTGTGCTGATGGTGGGGAACCCAGCGCCCCCTCTCCTTCCAGTGTGGCTTCATTCAATAAATCAGGAATTCCACAGGAATATCAGGTAAGACAAATGACCTCTTATTTTATATTTTAAAAGTAAGAAGTGTCCTGATGATCCTCAACAGCTTGAATAAAAAGTGATTATGGAATGTGACTTGGTGATTCTCATTTCCTCCAGGGGAGTGGTCGTGCAGTCGGCGGAGCACCTTTGCGTACAAACAAAGCAGGAACTACAACAGCTACTGTTGCTGATGAAGACTCTGAGGCCTGGCGTCAGAAACGAAAAAAGCCTGAGGTTTCTGAAGCTGTGGAGCGAGCACGACGCAGGAGAGAGGAGGAGGAGAGACGCATGGAAGAGCAGCGGCTTGCTGCGTGTGCTGAAAAACTGAAGCGCCTCAAGAAGCAGCGTCAGTCTGATGGCAAGGCTGCACCATGCTCTAGTGATGACACTGGAGTCTCATTTGAGGACAGTTCAACATCAGCTGTATCTAATGCTACTCCTGTGATCCCAAGTTCACAATCACAGACCCCAGTGCAGCCTTGTGCACCTGAGAGAGTGGAGCGTGAGAGGACTGAACCGGAGCTCAGGGTAGACCCAAATGCAGAGGAGGATCACTTAGTCCGGCAGGCCGCCTCTCCAGTCCAAAGACCTGCAGCTGTGGAACCCCAGGATGAGGATGAGAACATCCAGACTGAAGTTGGGCCAATTGTGGATGAGATGTCAGCAGACAGAACAGCAGGGCCTATCCAAGACTATTTCAGTATCGAGGACAGCAGAGGTGAACAGCCCAGAATTCTCATTTAATGTGGCATTAACATGTTCACTTTTTATTTAACTTGGTGTTCTTCTTTTACATCTGACAGCAGATGAGTCTCCTCTGTCTCTTCCTCACATGGACACTCCTTGTGCAGATGAAGTCTCAGTGGCACCCCCACAGCTGGAGGGAGAAGCTGCAACTGCAATGAGGCCGTCGCTAACATCAGGCTACTCCAAACAATTTCAGAAGTCCTTACCACCACGCTTCCTTAGACAACAGGTAAAGATGATCTGAAGATGTTGAATTGCAGTTTTACACAGTATCAAAGTTTGCTTTCTAAAGACAATATGATTTTTATTAAATGCAGACTATACATTAAATCTTATCATTAAATAATATACAATGCCATATAAATGTCCTGTTAGGAGCAGATGAAGCAGCAGCAATGGCAGCAGCAACAGCAGAGTGGGGGATCAGTGTCTCCCTCTAGTGGGACAGTCCCCTCGCAGCAGCAGCAACAGCAACAGCAACAGCAGCACCGCTCAATGTACCAGCCCATGGGTCCTCACCATCAGCACCTGGCGTCTATGGGCTTTGACCCTCGTTGGTTAATGATGCAGTCTTATATGGACCCTCGGTTGATGTCGGGACGGCCTCCAATGGACATGCCAACCAACCTTCACCCAGGTACTAAGATGGTGTTATGTACCTTATATGTTGTTTTATGATGTTGTGATCATGGGAAAGCTTTTATTAAAAAAAAAAAAAATGTTTACTGACTTTATAGGGAGGATGGCCCCAAAACAGATTGTCCGTAGAGATCCTGGGGACAACTCTAGCTCAAGCTCAGATTCATTTGACCATTTGTCCCGACCAATGCGTGAACATGGTTTGCCTTCAGACTCTAGAATGGTGTGGGGGTCTGACCCTTACCCCCAACCAGAGCCTCTGCCTTCTTTAACGCCTCCAAAGGGACGTGATGACACCAAGGACCCACGGTAAGATCACATACTATTATGATTTTCATACAAATGTGAACAGTGTTGATTTGAGACGTTTTCTTTCTCTCTAGAATGGACTCCGGTGTGGATTTAGATCGGGGTCTGCAGAGCATGTACCCGCAGGACCATAGTGCTTTGGATTCTCGTAAAAGTAACTTCTTCCGGGACCCTACAGAGGCCTTGTCTGCATTCAACCAGGGTCCTGATGACGGCCCTGGACCTTTAGATGGGATCCCTGTGGGATCAGGCTTTAACCATGAGGAGTCAGGGTTGCCCACTGGAGAGGAGGTGGAGGCTTTAGGTCAGGCTATGCTGCAGAGAAGCATCTCTCAAGGCTCTAGTCACTCACTGAAGGTAGAAGAGCCCCGATTTGAAGGGTTACCTCTGGGAGCTAAATCATTGGAGCTGCAGGACTCTGGAGAGAGAGTGGAGGAAAAACCTCTAAATGACCTTTACCCACAGGCAGGGGTGACCAGCAGCCGGTCCACACCTCCTGTGGATGGACTGCACAAACCTGACAAACTCCCTTTGCCAGCCCCGAGCAAACAGAAGACTGAGCTCCGCTGGGGAGGGCGCTCTGGTCCAGGCCGCAGGGATGGACCAAGCACTGAGAGGCCTCTCCGCAGATCTGGACCTATAAAGAAACCTGTACTGAGAGATATGAAAGAGGAGAGGGAGCAGAGGGAGGAGAGAGAAAAGCGGCATGAGAGGGGAGATCGAGGAGACAGAGGGGACCGTTCCAAAAAAGAGCTTTCAGCCAAAGCCCCCTCTGTAGCTGCTGCAGTGTCTGAAGGAGGCAGAGCTCAAAGTGAGGTAAAGAGAGAAGTAGCCGAGGCAGAAGAGCCCAATTCTATACTTCAGAGGAGCAGAGAGTCCCAGCCTTCCCCAGGTGTCCCAACCTCCTCTTCTCAGGAAGACAAGGTTGACAAACCAACTAGCCATGATAAACATCCTGAACCAAAACTACCCTCCAGAAAAGAGTCCAATCTTCCCCCTCGTTCCTACCGCAGAGAAGAGCGAGAGCGGGATCGAGACAGAGAGAGAGATCGTGAAAGAGACAAAGAAATGGACAGAGACCGCGAGTTTCCATCTGACTTTAAAGGGCGTGGTCGGGGCGAGTATTACTCCAGAGGCAGGAGCTACCGGGGCACGTACAGCGGCCGAGGCAGAGGCAGCCGCGGTCGGAGCCGCCCTGAATATCCTTACAGAGAGCCAAGAGCCCGCTCTGACCTGCCCTCTGCTGGAGGTGCTGCTGCTTTTCGTAACAGAGAGGAGAGTGAAACACGCAGTGAAAGCTCAGATCTGGAAGTTATGCCCAAACGCAGACGACGCAGAGGTTCTGACACAGATTCTGAAAGTGAAGGAGGACGAGAGTCTGCCAGTGACACAGGACCCTCTGACAGGGAGCCCAGCACTAAACCCAGCCGCCCGCTCAGGCGAGACCTCCCCGGAGACCACCGAACAGGTGCCCACAAACCTGGCTTTGGCCCCCCGCACATGGGAGACAGAGGACCTAGAGGGGAGGACGATAGCAGGCCTAAGCCAGGGTTTCTTCCGAAAGGAGAGCCATCTCGTCGCGGAAGAGGGGGACTGTACAGCCGAAGGGGTGGGACCAGAGAGCGTGGAGGTCCTCGTTCAGCCCCTCTTCGGAGACCCCCGCGAGAGTCATCCTCTCAGTGGCCCTCTAAACCAATGGAGACCTTTAGGCCTGAAGATGCTGAGACCACATCCAGATATGACCATCCTGCAGGAGACAGGCGCCCCCCAAAGTCCGAGGGGAAGAAGTTTGTGGATGGAGTTCCTCAGAGCAGCAGAGAGAGGCCCCGCAGATCCAGGCCAGCCCGACCCCCGAGGCAGGACAAACCGCCTCGCTTCCGGCGGTTAAAGGAGCGTGAGGCTGGAGGTTTGGGGAGTGGCGACACACTCTCAGGTCCTCCAGTACCTTTGCCCCCAGGGCCTGCTCCGGGGAGTACTCTGAGCAGTGCCCCTGCATCCCTCTCCCCAACACTGTCCCGTGCTCCTGGAACTCCAGTCACTGTTCCTGCAGATGTATCATCTGCTGCCCTAGTGCCAGATCTACCCTCTTCTATAGAGGCCTCTTTACCTGATATTAGCAGCTCTACTGTCACAGCTATTGGCACCAAGTCCCCCGACTTATCCAACCAAAATTCTTCAGACCAGGCCAATGAGGAGTGGGAAACTGCCTCAGAGAGCAGTGACTTTAATGAAAGGAGAGAGCGAGAGGAGCGTAAAGGCAATATGGAGGCTACTAATGAAGCCACAGCTGCCTCTGCCCCGGTGAATGCACCTCCTCAGGGCTCTGTGACTCCCAGTAAAAACTCTTACGATGGAGGACTCACTCCCAAACGGGACATGGCTCCTGCTGCTAAACGGAGCTTCTCCAGTCAAAGACCAACTGAACGACCAAGTCGTCGGGGAAACGCAGGAGCCAAACCAGGACGCAGTTACCCAGGGGCCAAAGGAGAGAGGAGGGGAGGGGCCAAAGCTGGGAGAAAAGGGTACATTAAACAGCTGTACAATTTTTTCAATGAAGTCTATATACATGAGATTATAATGATTGTTTTTGAATTACAGTCCACCTGCTCAGCAGAACCTTGACGGGGGTGCACCTACTGCTGGAGGGCAGACACAAAGGCCCACTAAAGAACAGTCAGCTCGTCGCAAAGAGGAGGCTAAACAGGCGGCTAAGAAGCCCAAAGAGAATGCACTTTCTCAGTTTGATCTGAACAATTATGCTAGTAAGTACATGTGAAACATACTCATGCCCGATTTTATCCAAAAACATTGAAAAAGACATTATTTTAATCTGGTACTTGGTAATACACTATCATTTTACATTTTGTTTATTGTATAAAGCAATAATTATCTAAAACTACTGACGAATAGGAATGGGACCATTGACCTTTGTTAAAAACTGCAGAACTGAGAGGACCACCTTTTAATATGACCATAACAAGCAGAAGATTTGTATTTATTCATTTTATTTTCGAAAAGTGGTTATGCAGCATTTTTAACCCTACACCCAATGTAATTATTCCCCTAAGCAGTTCTCCCAAGCCCCGATTTTTAAACCTACTCCAAAGCCCCAACATATTCTGAGCTCTCCAGCCTTAATGCAGAACAATACAGTGCATGATTCAATCAAAATAAAGCTTTTGAGTAAAATCATGAGAGAGAAAGGGGTGATTTAGATTTTGCTATTACTTATTGCTTACTTTTCATTTACAACCTTTTAAGCTATTATGATTTTTCCTTATGAAAGTTGTATTATGATTTTTCAAACATGAGAAATCCTTTATTTTCCTGCTATTCGGGCTTGAGAATTATTTAAAACATTCAGACTCTGGATTATACACAAAATTGCAACAATTTTTCATAAATGAAAACACTGTTAAGTAGTTTTAAATAAATTACAATAACCATATAAAAGGAACTATGTGTGATAGTTTATCAATAAATACCAGATTATCTTAAAATGCAGAGCCTTAAAGAGCATATGCTTTTTCAGGTGTAGTGATCATTGATGATCACCCAGAGGTCACCACCACAGATGACCCACAGTCCAGCACAAACGATGATGGTTTTACGGAGGTCGTCTCTCGCAAACAACAGAAAAGACTTCAAGATGAAGAAAAGCGGAAGAAGGAAGAACAGACCACTCAGGTGAGAAAATCTATAACTTTGGTCTTGGCCATAGTGTTTGATGGTTATGCTTTAAAAAAAACTGTGGTTTCAGAACTGGGGTAAAAAAGGCTCAGGGGAGAAGAACAGAGGAAGTGGAGGAAAGCTGCCACCCAGATTTGCCAAAAAGCAATCAACCCAACAGCAGCAGCAGCAACCACCACCACAAGTTTCACAGCCTTCTGCACCCCCGACAACACAGGCCTCTTCACAGCCACCAGTCACTGCCCCCCAGCACCCCCCACTTTTGCCCTCATCCCAGCCAGCTGCCTCACCTCAGACTCTGGAAGCTGCTGTGCCCTCCATACCTTCTATTCCCCCAAATAATGTGGACTTCAGCTCCAAAAGCCTGCCCACTGCCCCGGCACAGACGCACAGTGCTCTAGGGACTGAACTCTGGGAGAACAAGGTAGCTGGTTCTACAGTCCTCTCTGACGTCAAGAAGCGTAAGTATGCTTTTTAAATTTATTGTTTAATTTAAATTAAAATAATGTTCTAAAGTGAAGTTGTGTTTCAGTTGGTCCCATTAGTCCTCCCCAGCCACCATCTGTGAGTGCTTGGAACAAACCTCTTACCTCCTTCACAGGCACAGTAGCATCAGAGGTAGGGGTCTTTTCCTCTTATTGGCTTATTGGTCTAAGATGCACAAATTGAATATTTTTTTTTGTTTTTAGGGCGTGAAGTCAGGTGCAGATGCCAGTGTTGAATTGGGAATAGACGGTATTCAGTTTGGAGCACCTTCGTCTGCAGGCAGCACAGACAGTGATGGCGTCCCCGTCTTGCTAGAGTCTGCATCTGACAATAAACTACCTGCTCCCAAAGAACAAAGACAGAAACAACCTCGCGCTGGTCCAATCAAGACACAGAAGGTACAGCCGCTGGAAATGCACCATGATTATATCACCTATGTTCAACCCTTCAATATAAAATGCTGCCTTCTTTGTAGCTTCCTGAAATGGAGCCTGTCGAAACCAAGGAGTACAAACCAGGCCCCATTGGTAAGGAGCGCTCCCTGAAGAACAGAAAAGCCAAAGATGCTCGTGGAGCAGAAGGCGATGTGATGGAGGGGGTTGTACCAGGGCCTGGAGTGAACAGAGCCACAGACCCCAGCCCCCCCACCAGCGACTCCACTGTCCCAGAGCTCGGTGGAGACATTGAGGGTATGATCACTGTGCCCTCTGCAGAATACACCAGCAATTCAAAGGTACGTAGTTGATCTGCTCACAATCAACTAGTACTTTATCCGTGCAGTAGTAATGTGTAATATAGTAATATTTATCTGCACTAAACTTGTGTCTTATAGGAGTCTGTAACAGATTATACAACCCCATCCTCCTCTTTGGCAGACAGTGTTCCCACAGGAGGAAATAAAATGGAAGAGAGTTTGGTTGCTAATGTATGTAATTGCAATATGTTTAATAATGTCATGTTTGCTCAGCCACCAACGCTGTTCTTATTTAATTCATTGTCTTAGGTTGCATTGCCCCACTCTTTACCTCTTCCTCGACGAGAGACTCTGCAACAGAGCTCAAGCCTCAGCACAGTTTCCCCTGCTACTGTTGATCTAACATTAAAGGTACATGGATATACAGCTATATTTTATTATTATTGGGCCATTTACTAAAATGTTTTACCTGCTCTTTTTAATCTGTATCATTTTTTTTCTCAGATGGAGTCTGCTCGTAAGGCCTGGGAAAACTCACCCAGTCTGGAGAAGAACTCTCCGGTCACTTCCTCGTCCTCTCCAATTACATCCTGTGCATCCTCGTACTCCTCTTTCTCTTCAGCCTCAATGCCTCAGATCCCTGTGGCTTCTGTTACACCAAGCACATCATTGTCAGGTAACTTCTTCAGTCTGTCAGTCAAACACCAGTCAGGGCATTTTCAGTTTTTTTTCATCCCATTGAGCAATGCAATGCATTAAATAACTACAGTAAATAATAATAATAAACATAAGAATTCACATGGACAATAGACTCAGTGTAGTGCTATAAATCTGTATAAAGAAACACTGTGCTATGTTATGGTTCTCCCAGGCTCTAGTACCTACACCACCTCTTCTCTGAGCACTAAGACCACCACAGCATCTGACCCGCCCAACATCTGTAAAGTCAAGCCTCAGCAGCTGCAGTCATCGAGCAGTAGCTTTTCTCAACTTGGCTGTGTCCCACCGCTTCTGCCTCAACAACAGCAGACCCCACAGGTGTACGTCTCCCAGTCTGCAGCTGGTAAGCACATGTCAGCATGCACAGTAACCAAGGGATTGTGGATAAAAATATTTTTGGATACAAGGCAGATATTCCCTTTGTCATATGCACAGTGATATACAGTATAATACAAAGGTATGTATATTGGCAGGTTCTGCAGCTCAGATTCCAGCCTTTTACATGGACACAAGCCACCTGTTCAGCACACCTCACCCTCGACTGGCCCCTCCGTCTCTGGCGCAGCAGCAAGGATTTCAGCCTGGCCTCTCACAGGTGAGTTTTCAGTTACACTTACGGTCTTACATAGTTTCTCTTCAAATTTAAAAACCTGTCTATTTCCTCTGTAGCCAACAGCAGTGCAGCAGATCCCCATCCCTATTTACGCCCCATTGCAGGGCCAGCCTCAGCACCAACACACCCACCAGGCACAGCTCGGACTGAACACGGGGCCCCCGGTTTCTCAGCCACAGGACCTGTTCAGCTCCTCCCTGCAGCCTTACAGGTAATTCATTGGCTATTCTTGGGGCACATGGAAATATACACTGACGTTTTCAGACAATACTGTTATCAGGTGGTAGCCTTGCTGTTGTGGCCAATAACCAGTTTACCCATACAGACGTACGCCACTATCACCAATATCTCCACTGAGAAACTCCCATCTCCATGTAGTCACTATGGGAATTCACCGTACTGTAGCCTAACAAGCAACTGAGGTCATAAAATTGCAAAGCTGTTTGTTTTTTTCCTTAGATCCCAGCAGGCATTCATGCAGAGCAGTCTTTCCCAGCCCTCCATGATGCTGTCAGGGCCTTCGCTACACAGTTACCCTGGAGTTCAGGCTCCAGACCTGGGCAAACCTCAGTCCAGTTTGGCCTATCAGCAGCCTTCGTCCACACAGCACATTCCCATCTTGTTCGAGCCTCAGCTTAACCAGCCTTCAGGCATGGGAGGCTCCCAGCTCATTGACACACACTTACTACAGGTGAGCAGTTGGTGTGAACAGTGGTTCTCAGCTGGTCAATTGCAACCCAAAAGTGTGTCACTGACACAGTGTATTATGAGTAATTATATAATGTGATTGATTTTTATTTGAATCCAGACTTACCATAATTACTTGAAGGCAGTTTCCAATGCCATACCAGTTCAGAACCATTGGTTTACGAGGTCAAATGCGCTTGATGCAGGATAGGATTAGCTCTTAATACAATTAATTTTGTTTAGGCTCGACAGGGGTTGAATCAGCATTCAAACATGTATTCGGGGCAAGTGCAGCAGCATGGCCAAAGCAGCTATTACAGTAACACTCAGTCACCCAGTTCAGCCATGCAACAGGTACGTATATTGTTATTCTTCAACTCTAAACAGCATTGCACATGGCTCATTTAAGTTTCACTCACTGGCCTCCAGGTTACTGTCCCTCTGCCTGGCTCTCAGTTGTCCTTACCGAACTTTGGCTCTGGTGGTGGTCAGCCTCTGTTGGCTCTGCCTCCCACTCCTCCACAGGCACAGCCTCCAAACATGAACAGGCAACCCACAGTGTCCCAACAGTACAGGAACCTCATGGGCCCCAATCACAGCATGATGCAGCCTCCGACAAGCAAGGTACTAGCACACTGCTCACATGCTACTTTTGCGTTAGCCCTGTGTCTACTGTCATAATAATGTTCAATGTTTCTGATGTAGATGGACATGGATCTGAAGCTGTTTAGCTCTGGGATGGATGTGAAACCTGGGACTCCTCCTGTTAGTGCCAGAAGTACGACTCCCACCTCCAGCCCATACAGGTAGAAATGACACAAACCAACAACAAAACTATGTGCTTCAACTGTACCTATCAGTATTTATGCAGCATAATGCATTTTATGTGTAGCGCTCTTGACAGGCATGATGTTCTTATGTTGCAGGGCCAGCTCGACGTCTCCTAGTAGCCAGTCCAGTAAGATGAACAGTATGCTTTATCAGAAGCAATTCCAGCCGAGCTCCGCTGGAATGAGAATGACACAGCACTTCCCCGGACAGTTCAATCCACAGGTAACAGACATGAGCCTCACAAATAAGAAAAGTACTTGTATTATGTTGTTTTCACATGGTTTGTCCCATTTCAGATTATGTCACAGCCGAATATTGTATCTCCTCTTGTTCGCCCCCCTCACGCCAACTCGTTTACGGGTGGAGTCCAGCGCTCTCCCATGGGCCCTCCTATGGGCTCCCCAAATGTTGGCGGAGGTCTGATGCCTCACCCTCGTGCCCAGCACCCGCAGCACCCGCAGCATTCGCAGCACCCACAGCACCCACAGCACCCACAGCACAGCCAGCACCCACAGCACCCGCCCAGAGGCCCACCTGGTCCCCCTCTGGCACCCAGAGGCACCCAGGCTGCGCTGAAGGCTGAACAGGACCTAAAGGTGAGCTGCTTATGCATGTAATTATAACTTTAATGACATATGTTACTTTCATTGTATTAAATTATCATATACAATTTTTATGACTGCAATACATATAGGTTCTTTTGCTATGGGTTTCACTTCATTAAAGGGGCACCATGTAACTTTTCTGATCAAGGTTATGCCACCTACTTGCTTCCTTGGAGATGCCTTTGCTTTGGCTGGAATGTTGTGGCTTGCGTATCTATTTTTATGGAGACAAGCAGTTGATGCCACCAAGCAGAGTAAAATATCTGGTGAAGAAGCATGCCTGGTCTCAGAATATTTTTCAGTGGCAAAAGAAAAAAGATCATTAACTGAAGATGCTGATGCTGATGATGAGGAGTGAAACATCTTCACTTTAAAAAAAAAAAAAAAAAAAAAAAAAAAACTTTTGTCCTTTGACAGTTCAATTGATTTTTTTCTTACACTATAGACCCCACCTGGACGACTGAGGACTTACAGACTTGTGTTTTAGTGACTTTATAGCTAGATAACTTTGTCATGTTGTCAAAACCTTTTAAACTTATCCTGTCCATGACCCGTTTCAGGCAAAGCAGAGGGCTGAGGTGCTGCAGTCCACTCATAAGTTCTTCTCAGAGCAGCAGCAGCAGCAGCTCAAAGCTCCTCCAGTGAACAAACCACCTCGTCTGGACCAGGGGGTAAAGCCCACGGTCGACATCCCTGCACCCAACCATCAGGTGAACGAGCGTCCTGAACCAGACAAGCCCCCAATCTCCACCACCAAACCCATACGGACTGGCCCCATCAAACCACAGGCCATCAAACCAGAGGAGGGCAAGTAGAGCTCTATCCAGCCTCTGGAGAAGACTACATGAACGGAGAGGAGAGAGGAAGAGTCAGTCGCCACGATCAGTCCAGGAGAGAGATGCAGAGCTGGGTGGACTTGTGGTTGAGAGAAAGCATCCATCTGCACATTAATAATCCTCTTCCTCCTCTTTCTTTCCCCTAAATCTACCGATGTTGGAGGGACATTGACTTGGACTTCCATCATGTTTAGACTAAAACAGCTGTTCCAGTTGTTTTTACGCAGTCTACTGTGAGAGTAGATAAGGAGAGTGTTAAACGGAGAATTTGAGATTTGCTGCTGAGTTTGACATTTTATAGCTCTCAATTTCTGTTCTTTATATTTCCCTCGCAATAGGATCACACATATTTTAGAAGATACCTTTTTTGTTAACAAAAGAATGAGTATGTTTTGTTTTTTGTAACTGAACAATGTTTGAAAAAACATCATTTGGAGATGGCCCAGTTTACTAGAAGCATATCTCATGTAACGGTTTCATTTGTCATTCTGTGGATGGAGACATCAAATCAGAATTAGTTGTTTTTGTTTTACCACAATGGAAATGTGAAATGATAGTTGATTGGATGTGATCAGTCTGCCTGTGAGCGTTTGCCTTCTCTTGTCCTTGCCTGATAATGTTGGGAGTGTGTTTTGGGATGAACAGGAAAGCGCGTAGCCCTCTCTCCTGAATATTTAGCCAAAGGTTAAAGGAGCGCAGAGATGGCGCCACAGCCTTTTTGCTGATTGCTGTTGCTTTGAAAGATTTGAATTTAAGCATTTTCAGAGATGATCACTAAATTTTGAGGGCTACGGTCCCCCACTTGTCACTGCTTTCACCCATTTTTGCTGCCACAGACACACATGTAACTGTACAGCACCAGAACTGCTGCTACCGACTGATTTCAGTGCCCTTAGCTAAAGTTAGGGCTATTTAGAGGACTAAAAACTGTCAGATGATTGTTTTAAAATGGTAAATAAAGTGCGTTCCTCAGTCCTTCTTTTGGAGGCGAGTAAAAATCTGAAAGAATAAGGACAAAAGATGAAATATGAAGCCTCCATTTTTGAAGTGTTTAAGCTAAAGGACACTTGCGTTTTGTTGTTTTGCTGATGAGAGCAATCAGTGCTGTTTTGTCTCTGCCTCACCTCCGCTGGCTGTCCTGAACACAAAGCTCTGTCAGGGCCGTGGTCCTTCAGAGTTGTACAGGCGTATGTATACCCTGAGGCCTCTGTCCCAGGAACGAGGAGGGAGGGAGGGAAGGGGAGACTTTTTCTTTGTTGTACAGGGGTTTCATCGCTGTATTAAAATATGTACGGTCTTATTTACATTCTCTTGGTTTGGTTACAGAAACTAATAAAAAAAATATATACGACGGAGACAATTTTGTGGTTTTATTTGAAGTCATACAGCAATGCTACAAGTGAACACTAGGTGGTACTAAACACTACAAATAAAACATAGCCCTGTTTAAAATACCTTATGGTTGACAGAAATGAGTATCAAAGATTTTACATCAACAAGGGCTACAATTAACATGCAATATCAATATGCAGTTTGAACATGTTCAACAAAAGCATGTAGTGTAATATAGCCTACATTGTAGCAGAAATGCATTTTATCATAATGGGAAAACATTAAATTAAATATCCGAGCATGTAGCTTATCAAAGGAACCAAAAATGACAGAAATACAGGCAGTATAAAAATAATACTCTACAAACACCTGTGTGGGCCATGCCACACAAAAAACATTCAAAAAAGGGGAAAAAACTTTGAACGAATTTTGAATTTACGATGTCACCTGACCTGGCAGCAACAATCTTATTTACAGCCACTGCGTTTACCCACAATTATCCAAGAGTCTTTGAAGCTGGAGTAAATGCGTAAAATAGCGCCACCGCTCCATCAGTCTTTTTTCTCCGCGCGCCTCACTTGGCCTGCGGGCGCCCCAGCCTCAGGTCGTAGGACACTATGTGGAAATTGTCCCAAGCAAAAAGTTTCTTCTGGACCGGGTTATAGTCGATCATGCTGTTGTAGCGGTACTTATTCTTGAACGGGACACCCAGCGCTCTGCCCTGGCTGGTCGCGGTGTCATACACGTAATTGACGGTCGTGTCCGGGGACGTGTAGCTGGCCACCGTGTACAACTTACCGCAAATTATGAACGCATTCGCGACCGAGTTTTTCCTGATATTGGTCTCCCAGGTTTTCCTCACCTCCAGACTGTTGGGGTCGAGCTGCGCAATCACAATAGCCCCCTTGGCCTTGGTGGTGGAGTAGATTGCCCACAGACCCTGCTCGTCCACGGCCAAATCGATGTCCGTGTAGCCGCCCCAGGAGTAGGGGAACTGGCCGTGGAAGCCGGCGTGGGACAGTTCACGACGGGCCGCGATGCTCTCTGATGACAGGTCGTAGCGGATCAAGGTCCTGCTTCTGCGCCTCTGGTAATAAAGTGAGCCGCGGTACATGGTGGCACCTGTCCCCTCCACTGGGTCAGGCAGCAGCAGCACCTAAACAACCACATGGATCAGTAATCTGCTTATTTGGTATTTATGTATGTTTATATGCACCTCAGGAAACCTATAATCTCCTGTTTTTGTTTGTTTGTTTTCTGAAGAATTTTTAGGAATTCATAGTTTGCTATAGTTGTGTCCTTGTCTCATGATGAACACGTTGGTGAGTGTGACTTGTTTCTTGAGTGTACTGCAAGAAAACAATATCTAACTAAATTAAAATTACTTAAATAAAGAACATTTTACTTTATTTGAGGTGATTCAACTTGACGAGTGAAATTCTACCAATTGAATAAGTGTGTTTTTCTTAAAACCCTCACGCTGTCCTCGGGGTCACATAGACCCGAAGAAAAATCTTTTTTCCTTCCCGTTCTCTTGGGGCGGGTCAATCAGACCCAAAAATGTATTTTTACATAAATTCTCGCCAGGCGAGACAACACATTGTCTGATTGACCCGCCCCAAGAGAGCGGGAAGGAGAATTTTTTTTTCTTCGGGTCAAGGAGAGTGTGAGGGTTAATTCAAGCAACGTTTGATTGTGTTTCTTATTTTAAGTGCAAAAAGTTGTTGTTTTTCATATTTTAAGTGTAGCAGCAAGATGTATTTTCATATTTTAAGTACAAAAAGTTTTGTTCCATTGGCAAATCATTTTACTTGTCAAGTAAAATTGACTCAAAACTTTCTTAATTCAAGTCATCTTAACTTGGCTAGATTTTAGTTTCTGCAGTGTGTCCAGTAAAGAGCTGCATGAGCCAAATTCATATACACTATAGGAGGATTGAGTTGGGGGGAAAAAAGATGTTGGAAGTCACTGGGTATAGAGTTCCAGATGAAGACCAAAGGGATTTAGGCCTATGAATGTTGTGAAGCTGTAGCTAAGAGTTGGTTGAGAAAAGGTGATGCAGAGGACTAAAATAGATGGATGTAGGTAAAGCCATTGTTGGCACAAGGGAAGGAAAAAAAAAAGCATAAGTTATAGTCTTGGCAGTCTATGAATGAAACTTACTTTTGAGGGGAATCCTTTAGAGAGCTGGTCCATGTCATCATATCCAAAGAGCTGTCTGATCTCAGAGCCCACCGTGTCGATCCTCCAGACCATGTTGGGGCCATAGGGGGAAACTGCCTCTGGGTCCTGCATCCACACTCCATATTTACCCATGATGTTGTCTGTCTTTCTATGAGTGACAGGCTCAGCCACTGACACAAGTTCACCACAACCTGCACAAGAGAACAGAGGAAGAAGTTTGTGTATAACAATGGGATTATAATGATGAATGGGGAGGTGTTGAATAACTAGTTTTCTCATACATTGTCTCATTTAAGATTTGACTTTGTTGAATAGCCTATACTGAATAAAGCCCCACAAAGGTTATTAAATTAAATATGTCAGTCAATCAAAGTCATTACACATTTTATGTATATGAATACTTGTATGAAAATACCTGTAAATGTATCAAACACAGAGGCCTATCAGGGAGTTACATGGTCCAATCAGAGCTCTGTATTCTAAATAGCCCTACTTTCACTGATTTTCTACTTTTTGTCACTCATATTTGAAACTGATTTACAGTGATATTTGTGTCCAACTGAAGAAGCTGATGACAACCTGATCACGTTATTCTGCCCGACAGCTCTGTTAGCATCAGGTCAATATTTTCAAAGCCTGAGCAAGCCTCTGCAGTCCCAAGCCCAAGCTGTTTTAACTTGATACTTGATAAGACAAGCTTTATATTTATCACTTCCTAAAATACATCCTCTCTGGATGTTTAGGATGTGGCACTAGATTTAGTACCTCAATAAAAGGAGAGGAAATATATTGATGTTGCATCATAACATTAAATAACCCTGGGTATAAAATGCATTGGTGTAGACTATGTTTTAAGTGGTTAGCTTTACAGTGACGGTTGTATGTTGCTTACAGTTTTACATTGACACCTGTAATTGATGCTCTCTCTCATGTTTAGGTAAGGTATCTTCACCCAGAATAGAGCTGGCTGTCACTTAGATTTAAAAGTTTGTGTCGCTGTTTTGAATGGTGTATCTATTGCTACTAATGAGAAATGTACATATATTAAAAAAATCTACTGACCAGTGCCATCCTCAGTGCCACCCGGAGCAGGGACCTCAGTCACTTCAGCCTTAAGCTCTTGAAAACCGGGAGATCCATATTGCCATGCAGAATCTAGTAAAACATGTCAGAAATTCAAATTAAAGTAAAATAGTAAGAGTTTTTGACCTTAATGTCATAATTAACACCTCTAAGGAACTTTGTTGCCACTTAAATAATCACAGGTCAAGTGCACATTTTTACAATATACTTTGTGTGTGATGCATTTGGCCTATATACAACTAACATGTTTGTTTGGCAGATGTCAGAAAACCTCTTTAGTGTGAGCTTGGGACCATGTTTTTTGCTTTTGGCCTTTTGGCTTTTTTTTTTTATATGTTAAAGGTGCACTGTGTAACTTTTTGGTTCGGGGTCCATCACCTGCTTGTTTCTATGGATATATCATTGCTCTGCCTCTAATGTTCCAGAGTATGACATTAAACAGCTCTACCCTACATTTATCCAATTATAGGTGGTTTTATAGCTCAAAAATGCCTAGAAAAACAAGCATTCTGACTGTGAGCTTGGTCGCCTCTCCACTGACCTGACCTGTAACTTTGTCTGGTTTGGTCTTCATGAAGACAGAAAGGCTTCATACTATACTGTAAAACATTCCAGACAAAGCAATAACATCTCCATGGAGAAAAGCATTTGACTGACCCTACAGCAGAACAGTTATACAATGCACCTTTAAATAAATAAAATTACCTATGAATGTGAGACTGAATGTTCCTGTCACTAAGATGTACCACTCCTAAAATAATTGTGGTGTAGGGCTATTTTGAATAACTTTTTGTCATTTATGTGGTTGCCTCACCTCTCAAACTGCTGATGTCTCCCCGTGTGTTGGGCCGGGTCATCAGGTGGGACATGGGGCCAAACCCTAGTAACAGTAACAATGAAACACACCTTGAGAGGCATATTCAGTGCAGTTTAATATAAGATTATTTTAGATAAGTGCAAAGGGTTGAAAAACAATGAGAAATAAATAATATCACAAAATGTAAAAATATTTCTATAGATAATTTATCTGGTGTACAGTGGATTTCAGGGGTTGACATTGTAAGAGTCCAGGCTCGTGTTAATGGCAGTGGCACTTGTCAGAGGGGAATGTGGCTGAAATAAACATACTCCCTTGAATAAATTCCCAGCTGCCCCGGAGTCAGACAGGCGCTGGATTGGGCGAGGAGTAGCGCACACGACTCACTTGACACCCGTCCTGGTTCTTTACAACTTCAACCGGGGTCTTTTCCCCCTGAAGTCACACACTAACCCCAACATAAATCTTTCATAACTCTCCCTGTACTTTGTCCCCAAAACTGTCCACACATTCTCATTTGAATTTTTCACCAAAATACTTAATTTTTCATCAAACAGAAGTGATGAAGAGTTGCATTTTATCACACATAACAACACAACTATACTTAACATAAAAAAAAAATGATACTGGTTCAAATCAATTTACATTAGGTTGTTTCTCAAACTGTGGTACTTGGATCGCACTTCAGTTTGCAGTTCGCCTAATGTTGAGTTCATTTTATCAATCCCCCCCCTCTTTTGAATACTTGTTTATAAGTAATAATCTTGTTTAGAGCCAGTGGAAATTATTTTGTCCACTTATAGACTTGGTTTAGCATTAGATTAGACCTGGGATAGTCTTGTTACTTGATTTAGATGTTGGTACACAGAAAGCCAACTCTATCTCTGTACTTGATGTGAAAAGCCACGGGGTTAAAGTATAGTTACCCAAGAGTATAAAAGTATTTTAAAAAGTGTAAAAGAGCTTGCAGGTAGTTACAGATATTAGTGCTTCTGTTACTACGACTACTGCTAATGACTTTGGTATATACATTTTGCCATTTTAGAAAGAAACACATTTTCATATATTGCTTTTACAAATACTATTAGCCGTCATCTGCTGCCACAATATAGTTTCTATTTCCTTTTCAGTGTGGCCATAAACTACACAAATCACCATGTTTCTGAAACATGGAATAGACTCCTGTATAATAGATACATTGTGCTTCTTGTTGCCTCATGTGGAGCTTGCACAGAGGCGTAATGACGTCTAATGATGGAGAACACAAAATGCTTGCAGCTGGAAGTTTGTTAACAAAGAAGAAAAAGAAAAGGAGTCGGAAATAGGGTTGAAATGGTAAATAGTTCCTCCTTTGTGTCCTGGCTTGTAACACTGTAAACCACTTCGGGGTTTTAAAAGTGTGTTCATTCAACCAACGCTGTTTTACAACCTTTTTAATGTCTTCACCTTAACTCGGCTTGTTCCCATGAGATGCACCCATTCATCATTATTGCAGGTAAACAACAGGCACATTCTTGTAGTGCACGTTGGCCAAACATGTGGAGTTCTGGCTTTCTGTTGGGAACACCAGTGAGCAGTAGCTGACAAGACACCCCACAATTTCCCCCAAACAACAGCAGGATAATTAGGCTGAGTTACATCTTATTTAAGCTCCACCACTTCCACAGGTTCGGGCCAAACTGCTGCCATGTATTTGTTTTATAGGCAGGCCCCACATGTATTTCACTGTGCTTTTTTATTGCTGCTACAGTTTTGAAAATGGCAGAAGCATCCGCAAAAATGTTTTTCTAATATAAGAATAACATTAAAATATTGGATAAGTGCCCTATGTCCGCTCCTGTTGGTGTGATTTACAATACAGCTGCCAAGTTTTTCAAGATACAGTGTAGGATTTATGCTATGCCCAGTAAAAAAAAAGAGGAAGACATTTGTTTAAAAAAAGAAAAAATTCCTACTTAAATTCAAATATTGTTACAATCAGCATAATGTTTTGCTGTTACGTTTACATTAAATAAATTCTCTTCAGTAAAGATATGGCTCCTCACATCTTTTGTTGTTTGTTTGTTGGTTGTTACGCCCCTAAAGTGAGTGATAATCCCTATCCCTCTTGTTTTATTGCAGTTGCCTTTAGTACATTTTTAGCCTTGCTCCATCCCTGCTTCAGTACATCAGGCTCTTTTGGGGGCCTATTTTTATCTTTATTTATCTGTTTGTGGTTGTATACAGTAGGCTACAGTGGAAATTTCCCCCAAATCAGTGTTCAAACATAAATTAAAATACAATATCCCAGAAGAATATGCAAAACATTACAAGCCAGGATTAGCTGTAGTGACTGCAGGAGGGAAAAATACTACAGGAAAGAAGTGCAATCGAGATGGATGATTTATGAGTCGCCAGTCTAATTCAGAAGATGTTTGACCACTGCAAACAGAGTACCAGAATTCATCTTACGGAGCCATAACTTCTCACGCTCTGCCTGGCCTTGTAACCTCTGGAGAGATCGTGTTCTCGGGATCTTCAGCCCTCCACCCCTACCCTGCCTCTGACCAACGCGGCTGACCCACTCTGTGCCTCTGTGGCTGGGCTTGGCATGATCAAAAACCCCCCTGGTGCACGGAACCTCCATTTCTAGAGCACTCACATTTCAGACCCTCCTTGGAGTATTCGCGCCCTCCTCGCCACGCAAAGGGAACCACCACTCCACATAAAACCAGGGTTCAGCACATAAATACTGAAGCTGAACCTCTCTGGACTAAATGCAGGCAGGAAGAGAGCTGTGTAACTTGAAGCGTGTGTCTCTGCAGACTTATGGGGCCATCAAAACAGACTCTTAGCCACACACAAATAGGGTTAAGCTCAACACATATACACTGTAATCCCTCTGAAATTGCATGAGGGGGAATACAGTGCATGCGGACCTGACTTGATGGACTATGGCACAGGAGAGTAATGTATACGGTGCATGGTATTTCGTATATGGCACGTCTGTGTCATCACTTCTATGCTCCTATTAACCCTTTAATCTCTCATTCAGGAAAAGCAGCAACAACCTGTCTGCAAGTGTCTACAGTGACAAACAACTTACCAAAAACAGGACAGTGCAGTAAAATGTATAAAACTATATCTAAAAATATGATCATATTTGTTTTATTTTTGTGTCATACTGTACAATGTTTCTCACAGATTTTTACTGAGACTATGGTGGCACATTTGATCCATATTTTATTCATTTTATTTAATACATTTTTTTTTTTTTTTTTTTTTTTTGCCTCTACTGATAAAAAACAAAAACACTGCTCATAGAATAGTTATTTTCTATTACTACCTATCATTTGTATCACTATTTTGGTTCATTTTGCAACTAAGATCCAAAAATTTGACTGTACCATAGCCTCCTCAATTAATGGGAAATGCTAATATACAGTTTCAGTTTGTGTAAATAATAGATAACATGTATTACATTTTATTTGTATGTGTTTGCACCATATAATTTGACATAAGTGGGCGTGAGGAGGGCGTGTATTTTCAATCAACATTTCCCATCCGAGTCTCCACCTTTTCCACCTTTAAATAGAAATAAACCATGCCAAGGTCTCATATGCCTCTAAAACAGGCTACATGCTGACAGGCGCCTAAATGTTATTCTCTGTAAATGTCATTAAGATTTGTTGTGCGATAGCTGTCCATGTGTGTGTGGGTGTTAGTGTATCTCTTACCTCCTGCGGGTCTCCTGAGGGTGCTATCCTGGAGCGGAGGGCTGGGTGGCACCACAGGGGGCTGGGCAGGACATGGTTTGTTCCTCAGCCTCTCTGTCTCCCGTCTCATCTCCTCCAGTCTGCGCTGAAGTCCCTCCAGCTCTCTCTCCAAGCGCTCTTTTTCAGCTTGGAGTAGGTTCCTCTCACCTACTGCCCTGTTGAGAGACTCTTGAAGGTCATTCTGGGGTCTGGATTGGGACACTTGTGGGGTCTTTATCTCACCCCCGCTCAAACGGGCTACCAGGACTTCCAACAGGCTGAGTCTTGCCTTCAATCCCTCCACCTCTGGACCTGCGTTCTGTGGGCAGGTGGTCTCTGCTGGACTTGGAACGGTGAAGGTGTATTGGCATCTTCCATTTCGGTCATTCCCTCTCCACATAGCAGCTCTGTCCTGTGCCTCACCTTGCATCAAGAGCCCACAAACGCACAACACAACAGGAAGAAACATCTTGCAAAGCCAAAATAAAATTCTACAAAATTCTGTCTATTTTTTTTAGGTTCAGGGTTGTTCTTCAGGTCTGTAACTCTGAGCACTCCCAACCAGCTCACAGATATTTATACAATCTGGAGGGGGCTGAGGTGAATGGGAGGGAGAGAGTGGGCGGGGAGGGTCACACGGTGAAAAAAGTGATGAGACTGAGGTTGTTGCATGTTTGAGGACAAAAACATCCCAGGTCCCTTTGGGTTTGAGTGGCTCTGTTTTTCTGCAGAGCTAAAAACAACTGCTTCTTGTCATGCTTTAGACATCACTGCTACATTTCTCTTTCTGGGGTCAGGTCATCTGCCTCCTTTAACATGAAATGACTTGTTTAGCATCAGGTTTCCTATGGATAATTAACCTGTTAAACACATTACAAACTCATTGTGACGGACCCAAGCCTGTGTCAGAATGTCTTATGTTAAAGAAAACCATTCATGTCAATTGTCATTTATGTCTGTGTCCTTTTCACTGAATTATCCTTACCCACACTATTGTATATTTATTGCTATTCTACTAGGTTAGTTTAAAAGAAAAGAAACAAAGTTATTCTACGTCTTAAATATATGCATACACACATAGCAGCTGGACATAATATGGAAACATATAAGTGCTCTATTTTCTCCATTTATTCATTCACAGGACCAGCACAAGCATGACTCTTTGCATCTTGATGCAGCATCTTTGCTCCATGCTTTTCATTATCAACCTGTCAAAATCCTCTGGTATTGCTTCCTTTGGTTTAACTATCCAAGCAGTGACGAGCCAAGCGAGCTCGAGCTGGATATGATTACCTCTTGAAAACCAGTGTCCGCTTTCATATTGGTAGGGGGCCAGAACATGACGCAAGTACATGATAAAGAGGGTCTTTATGAGGGCATGAGGTCACCAAAGGCGAAATGACTGGATACTTGACGCTGACCCCAACATAGACCCCATCACTAGTTCGAAACTTTGAACCAGAACATGTTGAAAATGTAAACACGTCCACTTCACTTCTAAATTTACCATATATATGTTTTACCTTTGCATAAGCAATGGTAATAACTTAATTACATTATGTACATTTTCTGGTGGAGGGGGTCCTCCACCTGCTTGCCTCTATGCCATGTGAAAATACAGTTATATTGCATTTCATTCAAATCTTTTTCTTTCTTTTTTATGCATTTTTACACTGATTAAGTTGAACAAACACAAAAACAGAGCACAGAAACAGGGTAGACAACTTGAGTGACAGCTTTTTGCACAAAAAAACCCCAAACCAAACCAAAAAACAGCTGGCATCATAATAACATTTAGTTTTTAAATGATTTTTGTAGTCCATGTTTTATTTAGATTTATGCATAATTTCAATGGGTAAACACACTCCAACTTTCTGTTTGAACGACTTCAGCCTACAATTCAGTCATAGAGAGAAATTACAAATTTCTCTCTATGACTGATTTGTAGATAAAATGAGTTCTCACATTGGCTTGTGTCATATAAATAAATATAAGTCTTATGAACGGCTCTTTGAAATAAACAGATCCAAAAGATTCCAAAGGAGGCAGGCAGGCAGCAGAGTAACATTGCACATTTTTTATGTAATTGAATGCATGTCCTATATCAGAAACATGGATGGCTGCAGGTTGCGTCGAGCTATTCTTTAAGGTTATGTTCTTTTCATATGCTATTGAACCCTTCTTTAAGCCAAATTTCTTCCAATAAAAAGAAACCTAAACCCGAACAAGTTTTACTATTACTTTGAAGTTAAATCAGATGTCAACAAGAGCCAACAATTTGATATCTTAGTTTGAGTCATGGCCCAAAACTGAAAGGTCCACATGCAAAGTTGTGGAGAGGTGTGCCTTTCAAACCAAAACAGTCTTCACTTTTCCTCATATCCTGTGTGTCTTGTTTGGGTTCCTCTCCCTAGATCAGCCTCCTCTCACCCCTAAAACACAACTTGACCCATATCTTTCACCCCAGGAAGGCCATAGCGCAGAGGGGCTATGCTGATTGATTGACAGCTCCTGTGGGGGCGAACAAGTGTACATAATCCTAAAAACATGACACTTGTACGAATTCCTCCTGCTTGTACCCTGGTTAGTGAGGCTCTCAACATGACGAATTGTCCAATATGTGTTTGATTTGCTGTATTTGCAGTTTGGGCACATCCTTCAAGCGGAAATGTCTTACAGATGAGAGGAAGATGAGCAGGCAGTGGCAATACACGTGACTTAAATAAGAGTTTGCAGTCAATAGGCAGAAACAGGTTTAAATCACACACAAACAGGGAGCGATGGAAAGACTACGCTCCTGGGAAAGTCATAGGAGGCAAACAAAATGATGAAAGCCATTTGCACATATTTTTAAAATCTCTTATTCCATACTACCTTCTATTTCTGGAAATGTACTCTCCACTTCCCGTAGTTACATCTATCAAACAGGTCATTGGTCAGTTTGGTGTGTGTGAGAAAGAGGGAGACGGACTTTTGCTGGCCGCCACTTTGTCCACTCCTCTTATTTCATCTTATACTCGTTTTTATGTGACTTTTAAAACAGCTGCTATGCTCGGAATCTGAGAGAGCTCAGCATGGGTCTGTAGAGGACCAAAACAATCTTGTCTGCCAGAAAGGAAAGGATGTAAGGGGACCAATATCCAATAAACAGACCTGTCTATTGGTTTTAACGAGGTGTGAAAGTACAGTGTGAACCTTCAAAATATGGAGCAAGTAAGATTTCTATTTTTATACACAAATTTTCAGAAATAGTCCAAATAATAAAATAGAATCTGGATTAAGATCAGAATAAAATTCAACACAGTTTTAAGGAATTCTGACCAAAGAACTTCACTTTCTTTTCGAATAGGTACTTTACTTTAAGAAAAGGCTTACACATGCTTCTTTGTGGGCATTTAGTATTATACTATAACATGTAAATTACTTACTAACAGATTCAGATCCATTTTAAGTCAGTCTTTTTTTTTTTTGACATAATTGCAAGTACAAAGCAGTGAGCACTGACATGATACAGAATTACTTAAACATGCATGAATCAATCTAAATATAATTCTGAGTAAGCAAAGACATTATCATAACATAGCTAAAAGCTAATTAAAAAAAAAATTACATGATATGGTCCCTTGTGTATTACCATTAGGCCTACAAAATATTGTGGCCATATAAAGCATTTAACCTAGAAAAATGTGACAATCGCCCTATAGACCTTTGCGAGTGAAACACTGAAGCCTGATTTTTTAAAAGTTACATATTTCCACTGTACTGTAGATTACAAACACTGGACCTTGTGTAGACTAGCATCCTGGACACAGTGGTCCCTGCCATGTTATCAGTTAAGATCTAGACTGAGTTGCAACAATTTACAACCACTCATCTAACAAAGACTTTTATTTACTCCAAGAATTTCAGTCATCCCCAAAGCACATCTGGTTTTAACAATCATTATCAACATTTTGATCATAAGTGATGCGACAGACCCTAGCCCTGACCACCCTATCATGAATAATTTATCTTTAAAGCTGGAATTAAACCATCACCTCATGCTGTTTACACTAGGTATCTGCAATCGATCAGTGGATTTATAGTACCCCATCTGGGCCAATCATGACTTGAGGATAGTTTGGGCAATGGAGGCAAGCTTGTCAAAGTTAGTTAGAATCAGTTCTTATGAGGACAACAGCAGTGGTCTGTCAGAACAATAAGACTTCATAGACTCCAGTTCCTTCAAGTTTAGTGGTGACTTGGGACTTCACCTGTGCCAATGAGAGACTATTAAAATGTGCTCATAACCAAAGATAAAAGAGTTTAACTGGACCTGAACAGAACCTCCAAAGCAGGGACTGGTGGCATAGTAACAAATTTTATTATTTTCCATATGGGACTTATCCTTTCTTGTCTGTGTCAGGGTGTCTATTCTTTCCCTCAAGTCAAAAGCCAGTTGCAACAGATCACACCAGAGCCCTTTAAAATCACTTTAATTCAGAGCAAAAAAAAAAAGTTAAGTTCAATATTAGGTCTTCCAATGCAATGCCAGAGTATAATACAGAATCAATATTTACAGATAAAATAAATTAAAAGAATAAAATAAGATTGCTTCATGTATCATACAACTTAATACAGATAGAGACAGTTCAGCCTTTTCTATAGCAAACGTCCTGGGCCTTACAACCACACAAAGCATAGCAGCAAACTAAACAGGAAAATATAGGCTTCTGAGTTGCCCAAACATAACCATATGCAGCATGAAGACAGTGTAATGTAACTTCGTGGGGACTCCATGGATGTAAGAGAACCGTGACCAAACTGGGCCAGACAGCAGGAAGGTGAGAAGTTCAAAAAGTAAAAAAAAAAATTAAAATAGAAGACATTCAAAGACATTCAAAGCCCAGGAATTTTGTATTACAATTCATTTTTAAGATAATAATAACTTACATAAATCTATACTACTAGTCTGGTGTTTCCTTGCCTTGATTCAAAAATTTATCTTACAACAAAACACACATTTGGGTGCTGGAAAATGTCTATAGTACTTGTTGACAAAATTCCCTTTCACAGTATGAGGAGGCTGCAGTGAGACAAATGGACAGTGTTTAAACCACTGGTTGTAGTTTTGACTAAAACAGTTGGACAATTTGTAAAATGTGAGTAAAAACAGAATGTTATGATTTCCAAATCTCATAACATATTTCATCTCATAACATCTAAACCTAGAACTTGTTTATTTTGGGAAAAAAAAAATAAAATCTTCCTTTATACTTGGTATTGTTATTGGCTCTTTGATACATACTATATAGCTAAATATAGATTTGGATCATTTTGCTTTCTTTGTTTTTTTTTTAAGCATGTTGCAACAAATTCTTCAATAAATGCATTATGATCTAATGAATAGAAACTATTGTTTTTGTGAAATGTTAAATCTGCTTTCATTTACTCTTCAACCCAGTGTGTCTAAACTGTGGTTTGTTGTATAATGTCAGACTTATGAGATTTTAGTTTCATCAAAGCATTCATGTCTCTGCACGCGATCTGTATCATGAAATGAAATCCTCCCTCATTATAACCAGAGGTGTGTTCTATCTCCTCAATCTCCCTTTTGTCCCGCTCATCCTGTCTGCAGCTGAATATAAACTAAACCATACCTTAGTACTGATCCCACAGAGCTTTCCTCCCAAAGTGTCACAAGTAAGATCAGTATTAAGACAAGTTTCAGGTAATCCCTTTTTAGGAGACACAGGCAGGAGGCAGGCTCGCTGGTGCCCTCTAGCATAAAACACTAGCGATATCGCAGGATCACTGGAACTGAAAGAGACATAATAAACATTAGAAATCAAATCTTGTCAGCAGGATGTGGTAATTTTGATTTCTGATGCTCACCAATGATAATTAACAGCAGACCAATCACTACCAAGGCAATAATAATTTTCATCTATGGCAGAAAGAAAACATTGATTAGATTACTCAAAATTAAAAATGTCTTTTGCTTTGTATTGAATGAATGGTAAAGGTATCAGACAGACGGCCTACCTTTGTGTCTCTCCACCACATCCTCCGGTGCAGCTGTTTGGCTCGGCTACTGAAGGCAGATGCATTGTCTGAAAGGCTCTCTGGGTCATCATCAGGTCAGAAAGGGGAGAGAAAAATAATATGAACTTGAAAATACTGTTTTACATTATTAAATAAATTACAAAGTTTACAGATGCAACATAATGTCCTCTCTGTGAATGACAAAATACATAGCACGATAAAATAAAAATAAAAAACATGCAAAAATATCTATAAAATCTACCAAAACTGTACTGAAATATATGTGATCCGTGTATTTGTGCAACTTGAAAGCCCAGCATAAATCTCTTTTTTTCTGCAGTGCAAGGTAAAGGGGCTACTGTTAATGAGTGTCCATAAACAATGATTACATATCTGTGAATAGCTTGTTGACTGCCTTCAGCTTGGTGTTTGACTGGTGCTCTCTGTCCCTCTGCTGCTCATGTGCTCTTGTTATTATGTGGAGTTATGCAATCCCTGAGTGGTCTGTGAGTGAGATCATTCTTTGTGGTGGAGCATGAACAGACGTGTGTGTAGCCAAACACAGGGAAAAAGGAACAAAGCACATTTTTTAAACTTCCTTTTTTCATGTTGCCGTCTCCGTTCCCAAACAGTTCGCCCACATGCCCGACTGTTTGGGTGTTTCATGGATGCTGTTACTGAGGTGTTGTTTACATAGATGGCACTAGGGTTGTGCATTTTATTACAAAAATTGGTCTGGCAATAATGTATTGTCCATTACGCAAGAAACACAATGCTTATAAAGTACAGCATGTAATTTTTCTGATGTTCTTCCACCAGCTTGTTTTCATGGAAATGTAATTTCTTCACCTGGATTGAACTGCTCTATCTACTATTCATTTAAATCTTAAATAAATAATGCATTTACATTTGTATTTTCATTGTAAAAATATATATTGAGAAGTAGGATTTCTCACTGTTAGTGGGGTCACCTCTCCACAGATGTGACATGTAACTTCACCTGGTGGCATCACCAAACAGTTACAAATTCATGCAGACAAGCACGTTGTGAACCCTCCACCAGAAAAGTTAGTTTTGTCACTTTAATAATTAATTTGCTTTTAATCATGACCACCTTAATTGAGTCTCACTACAGCCTTATTTTGGTCTGTTCCGATCTATTCCAATCTATCAACTATTTGTATACCGTTTTACAACTGTATTAACAAAAGGTTTCCAAAAAAGCCATGGGGGCAATTTTTTTTCCAGAATACTGTGGAACACTAATATAATATGAAATATACTTCCCCCTGTATTTTTAGGCATACATAATGCCTGTACAGTAAATGTGTATATGAATCACCTGACTTTCTGTGGCTCTTCTCATGCCCATGTGCCCGGGTAACAACCTAAAGCTACAAAGAGGGGCTCGCGGGCTGATGAAAAGATGCTTGTTAATCGTGAGGAATTTAACAGGTTACCAGCTCCTCTGCTCACGTCAATCACAGCTTTATACAGCCGCACACATAAAAGAAAAAGTCTAAATCCTATGGACATGCGTTGGACTTAAATTTGCACCGACATGCACATTGATGGATACCAGATGTCTATTATTAGCTTTGGTTGGACAGGACATAAGAAGTAGTTATATAACAGTGTCAAATGGAGGAAGACGAGAGTTGCACCTTATCCCTATAAGACAAAGGCTAAAGGCGCTTAAAGTTTGGGTTTAAACAGAGCAGGTTTTTAGCACCTGTCCCATTTAAAAGGGAACAAAAAAATAGCAAGTCTGACAAAGGGTTTAGACAAGCACCTGGTGAAGCACTAAACCTGGACTTAGCATTAACACCTTTAAAGGACACTGGAGTATTTACAGGCATGCGCCCCTTCACTGGTGGACACTGCAGTTAAAATGTTTGGTTGTCCTGTGAGAAAATGTGCTTTTGCTACACACAGAAAACATAAAGCCTAAGAGGTCGTGCAAAAAAAAAAATCCTGTGCAACTCAAGCAAAATATTGCCTCTTCCCAAAAACACCAAACAACAGAATTTAACCGTGACATTTGCATGTAACATATTAAGACAGAAATGCCCTACAAAACCTACTAAAATAATAAAAAAATAGTTTTCATCTTCCAACATTTATTTATCAGAACTCGAGATGCAAATTCTGTTCATTTCCTTCAGTGAGTAGTACTTCCTACTTCTGAAGAGTGCAGACACTATCCTTGCTTGCTCCTGTTGTTTCCTTCATTATTTTGCTTTTTAATCAGTTTAGCTCCTCCAACACCGGATAATGTGTCTGTTTTTGATTTCCTTTCAAATAAATCAAGACTTTTAAACCATTATTACATTTTTTAAACAAATCATTTGATGAACCAGCAACATGTCGGTGGGAAGAAACCAAGGGGATTCTATCTGTGAGCGCTGTCGAAACTATTAACAAGAAATTAATGAGCTACAAGCACAGATATTTATTTTAGAAACTGAACAAGGACTTCATCAAACGCTACCAGTGACTTCCAGTGGTGAGCAGCCCACAGTTACTTTCAGAGAAGAGGGTGAAAAATCTTTCAACTTAAACGTGGGGATACAGTGTCTTTTCCAAAACTTGGTACAGACCAAAATGCTAAGCCAACGCAGCGAGTGATAAAAGACAATGCTAATATTGTTATATCACCGACAATAAAGCTAAAAAACTGATTTTTACCATTGTTACAGACTGATGCTAACGTACAAACAGAAAATGAATTGTCATAACAAAAGAAGAACAATAAAGTTGGCAAAAGAGTGCAGAGAGATGGACAATCTGTGCCAATCATCAAGCAGCAGTCTCAGACCCAGCAACACACCCACCACCTCCCCAGCCAGACCAGCCGGGAGTCCCCTTTGCTACATCTACTCCATCAACATACTCTTCGCTCTCCTTCTCCTCCACACCTTCAAGTGTTTTGAATGTTCTGGATGCCATTGCCTCAATAAAGGTTAAAATGGTTAAAGATAGGCAAAAAGCTCCATGGAGGAATGATGACTCAGTCAGGGCAGAGAAAAGGGAGTGCCGGAGGGCTGAGCAAAAATGGCAGGTTTATTATGAGATTTACAGAGAAAAAATGTATATATACAACCACAGTTTGGGCAGAGCAAGAGAGAGGTACTTTTCGGACATTATTGGAAATTGCAGTAACTAGATTTCTAAAGTCCATCCTCAACAGTTTGCTTTCACCACTCGCTCACATAGTTAACATGTCACTTCAATCTGGAACATTCCCAAGAGCGCTGAAAACCGCGGCCATTAAGCCTCTCTTAAAAAAAAGTAGTATTGATGCCACACTACTGAACAATTTCCAACCCATCTCAAATCTGCTGTTTTTTTGGCAAAGTCCTTGAAAAAGCTGTTTACCAACAACTTACTAACTTTCTCCACAAGAACAACTCCTTTGATGTTTTCCAGTCAGGTTTTAGAGCCCACCACAGCACTGAGACTGCTCTTATCAAGGTGACAAATGACATCCGCCTGAACACTGATGCAGGCAAAGTCTCAGTCTTGATCCTGTTAGATCTGAGTGCTGCTTTTGACACTGTCGATCATGGGATCCTCTTACAGAGACTAGAGGACTGGGTGGGCATCTCTGGTACTGTACTAAACTGGTTCAAGTCCTATCTAGAAGACAGGAAGTATTTTGTTGAAATTGGAAACTCTGTCTCAGATCACATGGCTCTGACCTGTGGGGTGCCCCAGGGGTCGATCCTGGGTCCCCTTTTGCTAAACCTCTACATCCAGTTAATAAGCAGCAATAATGTGTCCTACCACAACTATGCAGACGACACTCAGACCTATGTCTCACTGGCAGCAGGAGACTATGGACCAGTGGACTCACTCTGATCATTGTGTGGATGCAAAACAACTTTCTCCAGCTAAACTCAGACAAGACTGAAGTCCTAGTGTTTGGCCCACAGAAACAAAGAGACAGTGTCAGCAGTCACCTCCAGTCTCTCTCTCTAAAACCTTCAAATCATGCAAGAAATCTTGGGGTAATCATGGACTCAGACTTGAACTTTAACAGCCACATCAAATCAATAACATCTGCAGCCTTTTACCATCTAAAAACATAGCAAAAATCAAAGGTTTACTGTCTAAATCAGACTTGGAGACACTTATCCATGCGTTTGTCTCCAGTAGGTTAGATTACTGTAATGGTCTGCTCACTGGCCTCTCCAAACGAGCTGTGAGAAGCTGCAGTACATCCAGAATGCTGCAGCTTGGGTCCTGACTCGAACTAGGAAGTAGGAGCACATAAGTCCTGTGCTCAGGTCTCTGCACTGGCTTCCTGTGCCTCAGAGAACAGACTTTAAAGCAGCTCTGCTTGTGTACAATTCTCTCTATAGCCTAGGACCAAAGTACATCTGTGACATGTTAGTGTCATATGAAACATCTCACTCTGAGGACCTCAGGGACCGGCTTCCTGCTGATGCCAGTCAGGAGTCAGTGTTTCAGATTCCTGCAGCTAAAACCTGTTACAGTCTTCCGGAAGATGTAGACAGGCCTCTACTTTAACACTGTTTAAATCCAGGCTCAAACTGGTTCTATTTAGCTGTGCATATGACCGAAAGGTTTTCATTCTGCACTCTTCTCTCTAATTTATGTAATTAATGTCTCTCACTCTTTTTAATTTCATGATGACTATTTATGATTTGATTTGTTTTTATTGTGATTTTAATGTATTTCTTATTCTGTAAAGCACTTTGAATTTGTGTATGAATTGTGCTATACAAATAAACTTGCCTTGCCTTGCCATGAATTAATTAATCACTTTAATAATGTCTATAGATTAAATGTTAACCACAAGCTTGTCGTTATGGTGATTTGATTCAAACTAACCAATAATCATAAATCATCATCAGAAAAGAGGGAAGATTAACAGAACACTCATAAAAAATAAAATATTAACCAAAGAATAATTAGCGACTTGTATAATGATGTTAATAATGGAACCGACTTTTATATTGTTTAACCTTTAACAAATGCAGCAAATGACTCATCCAATATTTAATATGACTCCATGAAAAGTCAACAAATACCAGACAATATTTTGTAATTTTTGCACACAATGGAAAATCTATTTAGGCTGACTGACCGGACTCTTACACCTTGTAACTTGTAACCACCCTGGGCACCAGACTGTTCCCAGACCACAAATGTAAACCTAAAACATATGTGCGCAATTTGTCTCTGTGACAAAAACAGTTGAGAAATAGCACTTGTAGCGTGGTTAGCCATTTATTTTACAAAGTTTATACAAAGAAAAGGACATGTGTTGGGCACATGTGAAGCCTGCTATAGCCCACCTGATTTGTCCTGCAGGTCGTCCAGTCGCTCCCCCCTCTCGATCACCTTGGAGATGTTCTCTTGCATCACATCAATAACTTCATCAACTTGAGACTGCACCCTAAGGACAACAGATTCACAGTCATAATCATAAATCCCAGATGGCCCCCTCCTCAGGTCTGTCCTGTAAAGCTGACTTCAGATTACATTATGATACCGTATTTTTGCCAAAGAATGATCAGACGAAAAGAAAGGAAATGTTTTGGTCAGATTTTCCAGCAACGTGATAGTGATCGTTTTAGACAAGAGACTGAATAATAGACAGATTTAAGACTTGAACTGTAAGGCTATTGTTTTGAGGGCAATATAAAAAATACATCTGTCTAACACATCAAAGGCAAGAGGGTTATAAAAATCAATGTACTACAAGGCTTAGAATGTAATCAGTCGTGGTGAATAGCAGTTACTTTTGCTTGAATAAAATTACTAGGAAGAAAATAAAATACAAAAAACATATTAGACAGTGCAATAATTCATTATTAAGGGGCACCACTGAGTCAAAAACACGTTACTAATGTTTAATTGATGCAAATACAGCATTACCTACACCGCTGTTAGTATTATTGTATCAGTGATTTTTTATTTTATACTACTAGTTATTTTTTCACATGTATGTTTAGGATTTGTCAAGTGTTACCCAGACTGGACTAATAAACATCTGACCTTTTTGGTGAACCGAGGTTTGTTCTTGGCATTAAAGTCCCGTGTGCTCACAAAAACAATAATAAAATCAACACTGTTCGCTGGTGGAAAGGGTCGTATGTGCCAGACTTAGTTCAACAACGGTACCCAGTGTTCCCGGACTTGTTCAGACTTCAGGTTAATACGGAAAAACTACTCTAGGATTTCCCGATACAGTCTGCTTACATGTGACAGTATTACACAACTTACACAGTTTTTGGTAAACACAATTACATAATAGCAACGCCAAAACAGAGCGTGCTGGTAATGAACCTCCCACTTTCAGTTGAAAGAGGAATGTGTGTGTATGTGTGTGAACTCACTGTTTAAGCTTTTCATTAGGAGCCCCGAATCTGGGAGCACTTGGCCCTCTCCTGAAAAAAGATGTACTCAAAGTCAATTAAACACTCCAGCATATATCTGACACAACACATATGCAATATGTATTCTTCCATATGAATTAAATGGGACTAACTGAGTGAATTACACAGATTTCAAGTTTTGTGAGAGTCAAAGATTTATGGCTAGGATGTTCAAAATAATATAATGAGGGGACAGTGCAAAATCAGCACAGATGAGTCCCATGGGAAAGACAGAATGATGTGTAGTGTGACTAATATTTTGTAATTGATTTTATACTCAAAATGAAACCACATAGTGTTTAGATAAGTATATAATATGACATAAAAGGGTAAGAATATAATCTTGTTTAGATAATGATTTGATGTTATATTGTCATGTTGCTCAGCATTAGTATTTCCATGTAATACAATACAGAATACTCACAAAAAGAAGTCTTCCTCCTCATCAGAGTCCTCCTCAAGCAGGTTCCTCTGTAAAACATTGAAAAGAACATGTGAGTGGTAAAAAAAGACCAAACTTCTATCATGACAATCCTGACAAGAAATCACAAAACTGTCAGAGCAGCCACTTCACTGAGCTCATGGGGACTGTAAAATAGGACACTGAACAAGAATACATATGCAGATAGTACAAAGCAGTAACATATTTGCAGTAAACACAAATAGCTCCATAGTTTAACGGATTTGTGAGTCTCATAAATGCTTTATAAGCCCTAAAACCACTTGTGTGATGCTTCACAACAGTAGTCTCATTTGTTCTGGTTTTGGTCACAGAATTGTTGAACCATAGAAAGTAAAAGCTTTAACAGAAATCACAGAGGAAGTTTAGAGCTTTGAGTGTTGTGCTTTGGGTAACAAACAACAGTTTAAGCTATTTTCCTATACACAAATGTTACTGAGCGCAAGATCTCAAAAAACTGGAGCTGATGGACACGTGTTAACAGTTGGTTCTAGTGTTTAATAAATGATTCATATCACTTCCATTCTTAGGGGTTATTTTCATAATCTGTAATAATAATAAGAATACATCATTTACAATAATTTCATTCCTCTAGTCTAAGTAATATTATAATATAATCAAGTTATTACTGATTACTCTCCTTTTTAAAAACAAAAACAACCATAGGTTTACACCAACTAAGTTAAATAACGTAGGAATATGAATTAACTTTTAAAAGAAAGAAAAACATTTTGCATAATAGACATATGTTGTGTGAACTTGCCAGTAGAAAGATAGCACATAATTTTGGTCGTGGCTCTCAACTCAAATGGTCACCATATGATGATAAAAATATAATAGGTATGTAGTGGCAGCTCAACCTATCTCTCCTTTAACAATCACAGAGGAAAAAGCTGTTAGTCATTAAGCTAAAGTAGAGGCATGAGAGGAGCAGGTTATTATGCAAGTCTCCCTGTGAGCTGCGCTTTGATCCCAATTCAACAGCAATCAGCAGCCCACAATGGAAACACATCAATTAGATGCAAGATTAGGTAGGGCAACAGCAGGATATAAAGAGGGTCAGGTAGATGGATACTTACATAGTTGTTATTTACACTTGCTACAAACACATTTGTTGAATACCTGTAAGCGGTTCAGCCTTACAGTAAAGGTATGGTATCAGTTACCAAACGGTATGGGGCTTTCTAGCTGGAGTTTACATGTTCTGCCTCTGTTTGTGTTTACCTGGCCAACCAGAACCACACGCTTGACCAAATTTTATAAAGAGGAGTAGATCTGGAGTGTCTCCCTGATTTCAAAACAAACATGGCTGCTTAAAAAGAGGGAAAATAACATTAATCAGCCATTAAAGAACTAAACTGTTATTTTTTTTCAGGTGAAAGAAGTTATATTCCCTGAAGCTGTTTTCAGGCCATTCAGAACGGTGCCGGTGCCGGTTCCCGCACCAGTTCCACTGGGAACCAAAGTGCTCACCGGTAAACGGCCCGCGTTCATACTATTTACGGGAACCCATGACGCGTCATCGACAGAGGGTGTGGATTTACCACCAAATAAAAACAAGGCAATATGAAAACGGATGTCACAGGGAGGAAAATAACAATCATGGATCGCATCATCAACATTAGCGAGCATTTGTACTTCTACAAGTCATTCTTTATGTGCACCAAGCTCTGCTACAACAGCGATCTGCTGTGGAGAAGACGGCAGCGACGCCGAATACAAAGATGTAATCTTATCCAGCGAAAACGCATACATGCAAAATGAATGGTACGTAATAGTTTTTGTGTTTGTGTTTGTTTATTTAGCTGCGTGTGACCCGAATGAACATGCTGACATCTTCTGTGTCGTCACAGTTCGCTTAGAAAAAACAAGTTTTACTTGGTTCCTGTTGGGAACCAACTTTTCAGTTCCCAAACGCTCTGATTTCCAGTGTGAACATGTGAGTCAGTTCAAGATTAGGCGCGGGAACCGGAACCGGCACAGTTCTCTGTGGGCCTGAAAAGCCTTGAGAGGACAGATCTTCCACATTTGAGAGACACGTGCTACAAATTAGCGGCTGTGGTTGGATCATCTCAAGTTAGACCAGAGGTTTTTCATGCTCTATGGTCCAGTTCCAGACCTATATTGATTGGAACAGAATGTAGAGGGGACTGGCTGGTCAGGCAATGTCTGTGCAGGTTTCCTCTGGGTACTACAGTTTCCCATACAACTCAAAATGTAAACAGTTTCACCTCCTAGGCTACAACCTCTCAAAACACTGTTTTGGCTTCTGCCAAAGCAACTGCATGTGCTTAAAGTCCACCTCCTAGCATGCAGTAATGGTACACTGTTTATGCACATGGTCTTTCCTAAATTTATCCAGGATTGTGACAGGCTATCCTTGTGGCTAATATAATAATAACAGGCATTGAACTTTGCAGTCTATCAGTTTGCTCTCCTTGGTCAGTGTTGATGCAGTGTGCCTTACCCTCTCACTACGAATCGATCCTGTGACTTCATCGTCATTCAAATGTCGTTTAAATTTAGGGGGCATGTTTTCATCAAGCTGCTCCTCCCGATCTGGCTCCCTCTGTGGCATATAAAAAAAAAATGAAGTGAAGTGAAGCCAGGTAGGAATTATGGAACAAATGAGCGTAAACATTGCACAGATGGGTAATTTACATTTTTTTAAATCAGGGAAGCTGGAAGTGGATCATTAGGGTTTAAGTAGAAGCAGGCCAAGAAGGATACAAGGAGCTTTTCACAGACTATCCTTTTCACAGTTCATGTTATGTAACAAGTGTATGCCCAAATTAATCTGTGTGGCCAAATTATATATAAAACAACAACATCTACACCATGAAGCCATTACAACATGCCCACTTTGTGAAATCAGTTACTGTTTACTGCATAAGGATTAATTTATTTGTATCATGCATTTAGGTTGCTCAAACAAAAGAATTAATACCATTGATTCCAGTTCAGTCTGAGCCAGGCGCTAGTTGAGCGTCCTGTAATGGCAATGCTGTTGAAAAGGCCTTTCAGGGGCCAGCAGATGTCAGGAAGCTTCCAGAAAACAAAGGAAACAAGCAAGGAACTGGGGGCTTCGTTAACTGCGGGGACAAAGGGGGGAAAGAAAGAGCAAGAATCTCTGATAAATTAAAAAAGAAATTAGAGCAAGCAGCTTGAGTTTGAAGTGGCATGCAAAAGAAAATAAATATTTAGTTAAAACATAGGGATTTAATAAGTTAGAAGGAAGTATATATATAAAATAGGTGATTTATCACAACATACTCTCTGTCTTGTCTCTAGTCTCTAGGTGGGCTAAAGAATATTTTCGCACATAAAATAGTTTACAAAGGTTTGTTTTGGATTAATCTTTAAGCGTTTCTTTGTAGTTTCTATACATTTTTATAAAAGTAATCCCATGAAATATGGTCATTTATACTTAATTTTCATCATCCATTACCATAGTTTATGGTGCAATTTGAGTGCTATTATCAGATAATACATTGGCTAGAGGTTTAAATTATTGCCACGACAAAACAAATACATATACAACTCCTGACTAATACCCATATAACAGGAAGACAAGTCTAGTTTAATTAAGACGCTTGGTTAAAATCTGACCAAGACTAAGCTAGCAGTGAGCATTGGCTAAATGCATTATCAATTAGCATGGATGCTAACATGATTGTACCTGTCGTGTCTCGATGCTCCGATTGCAGTGATTCTTCACAAAGACGGATCTGAAGCCCGGTTTTATTAGTATTCTAAATGGCAATAAAAGATGAAAAATACATGTTTAATGTCTGTATGGTCGTTGATGAGCGAATGGCATCCTGATGTAGCCTGCGTTGTCTTTCCTCCGTAGACATCAGCTGACCAGGAACTGAACACAACAGCTGGATGAGGAGAGGCGCACATCTGTTCATAGGAAACACGCCACTGCAGAAGACACATAATAATTACACAAAGAAAATTTGAAATATAAAATAATCTTATAAATAATGTTTTATTTTTGTTAACACGTTTGTTCTATTTCCTGAGATTGTTCAAAACTGCTCCAATCTGTTTCCCCTGCAGAGGGCGTCATTACGCTCTGTCAATTTACCAGAAGAAGACAATCTTCCGCCGTTTCTCTTTCAACTTGTAACAAAACGTAAAATATAATACAAAAGCCAGCAGTAAGTATTTTTTCTATCCCTACGAAGTATTTATTGAGTATGTTAAAAAGTAAGAACTAAATTTCATATCTATCTGCAAATATACCAAAACGTGTTATTTCACATCTGTCAAACGTGAGTCAAACCGTTTCAAACAAGTTGTATTTAATTATTAGAACTTTCTGTCTGTCTTTTTCAGACACTGTACGTTTGGTCTTTGATTTCAAGAGACATGCAAACTGTGGGAGACGATCCTCTTAAGCCTCATCCGCTTTTTGGAGGAGCCCTATCTGCTGCCATCCCTCCAAGCTCCACGGACATCAGCACCTTGAGGGAAATCCCAGACAACCAGGAGGTGTTTGCCCATCCACACACCGATCAGAGCATCATCGTGGAGCTTCTCGAGTACCAGTCCCAGGTAGCAGACGAGGATGCTGCCAGGTATCACTTTGAAGACATTGCAGGGAGTAACAAAGCTTTGGAGCCGGGTACTTTTCAAGTCACTAATATTATCCCTCTCCCTAAGTCTGAGCTGTCTCTGTCACAGTGCAGCTCTGGTTGGTTGTTAACGGGGACCCAGTCTGTGTCAAAGTTCAATGAAGAAGCGAGGAATACAGTGACCATTCACCTTGGCCTTTTTCGGCTGCCTCAGTTCTCCACAGATATTTTGGTGACATTCAATGATCCGCAGAGTATAAGCCCGGATAGTAGCAGTGCCAGTTCAGCCGGGATGCACAGTGAGCCATGGACTGTTCAGGACTTTCAGAGGTTGCTTCAGTCTCTCACTCTTCATGATCCAGGACTGTTTGGGTAAAACATCTTCTACGGTAGTATCTATCAAAGATCATTGTCAGTATTCTGGTCAATACAACATGTTGCAAAATTGCTAAATTCTTCCAAAATTACAGAGTATGTCAAAACACTTAAATTAGAAACATGTGAGCCCAGACAATGTTCAAATAAATATTTTGAATTAAAGTTGTAATGTCTGATTAGTTCTTGAGATTTGGCTGATCTGAATGATAATCAAACAACAACAATGTGCTTACACTTTTGTCTTGCAAAAGATTTTAAGGAATGCCACCTCTCACAACAGAAAACTGCTTTCTTCAATAAGTGTCACATGTCTGTCAGATCAGCTGGTCAGTCTATTAAGCATCTTGTGGTAACATATTTCATTAGTCACATGTGGAAAAGATATTTTGGCTTCATTTAAAGGAGAAAGGTAATGTCTATACGCATTAAACATAATTCAAGCTTTTTAGGCATAATTCAAGCTTTTTCTAAGAGACAGATTTATACGATGGAAATTACCCTTATGCCTTTTACTTTGATGTTAAAAATAATGAAACTGATGATTAACTCAAAGTACATGCTGTGACTGGTGTTTTGTCCAGATTTTCCAGTTAGTAATAAGACTATGAATGCAGGTAGGTCTTAAATTAGAGGAAGTACTCTGTCTGCTCTGAGCCACATCAAACCCTCATCTTCTGCTGTAATCACACTGGTGGTTAAGGATCTCATAAAGCTAGGCATTTATTCCTGTTAGTGATTTAGTGATGGCTAATGTCTATTCTGAGCACACAAAACGTGTGCCGTTACATGCATACTCAAAATCTGTTTATTTTCAGATTTCTTGAGTTATAAGACTATTAAAATGACATGTAAACATCTGATCACAGTCCCTCTGATTACAAAAATCTAATTTTGCAGTTTGAATGTCATTTAAATAATCTCAAAGATCCGGAGATCAGGCGATAATCAGATTTTGGTGTGCATATAAATAAAGCCAATGACTCAATAAACAAACCTTTTGTTTACATATCCTGCTATTGGAAATACAGGATTACTACATATTCTGACACATCAGGTGATATATCATACATAAATAGAATTTACACATGTTTGTTGGCTTTTTTAATATGATTAATATGATGTGGCATAATTATAAAATAACTACATTCATTTAAAAACAATTTAAATTTATTTTCCACTACTGTCCTTGATCTTCAAGCATCTGAAAAAGGTTTGCACATCACAGAGGAAGCAGCTTCATGGGCCCCATTCAAAAATCTTTGTTGACTTTAATACACAGAGGTAAAAAAGAATAACAGTGCGTGCTGTCATAGCAATCAATCCGACCCCACAATGTCTTTGAGATCTGCACACAATGGTGTTCTGATTTTACTTTATAGTATAGTTTGAGTTGCGTGTTGTGGCAGCACTATGTGGTTATACATTTATAACAGTGGTAGTTTAAGTTGTCAGTAGTCATGGCAGCAGAAGCAGCAGCAGGTATATAAGAATAGAGAACTATTTATTATCTATCAATCTTGTAAAATATTATTAATGTAGTTCCTTCTCATCCCCTGCAATTGAGACACAAAATACAATGTTCAATGCAAGGCAAAGCTAAGTGCTGATGACTTGTATGTCCTGTTCTGTCTGTGGTTTCTGTAAATTGTTGGAACTTTCTAGTGTCAGTCAGATGCAACATTTTCTGTCCATCTGGGAGCCATCCGTCACAGGTGTATGCATAGTTCCTGCTTAGAGACTTCCAGCTCCCGGGTCATTTATTACCCACACTTCCCTGTTGTCAGTGGTGTGTAGTGCTGAACATCCTTATCCTCCCCCTCTTTGGACTGTTGCCTCTCTTCTGCTGCCAGATCCTGAATCTTGTGTCCAAGCCACAGGTCATCTGCTGCTCTCATCAGTGCCTTTTTAATTTTATGGTCCTTTTCCATTCTATCTTTGTTAACTCTGGGGAGCCAAATCTTTAAAGAATGGGACCAAGAATTTCACTCCTGAGTATTAAAAACTATTTGTGTTTCTTCTAGGTGGAATATTTAACATCCAACTTGAGGGTCAGAAAAACAAGTTGGGATACATAAAAAATAAGTACATGCAAACAAGATTTTTCAGCAAACAAAACAAGAGTCCACAAGTCAGTTAACTTAAAAACACTTTTTTTTTTTATAAAAAAAAAAAATTAAGCCTCATCCTTTTTCTTCTTAGACATAGGAGAGCTATTGTTCACCTCAGCAAAATGGTCCGACATGGCAGCCAGTGCCCTGTAGCGGTGGGAAATTGTATTCTTGATTTCTTTTGGCAATTCAGCGTATCTGCAACAATCGATGTCTGTCAGTATTTATAGAAAATAATCTTGGGACATTTGGAGCAAAGCTGGACACAGAAGCCATAGTGTAGAATTGTGTTACACTATGATGACCTCTAGTGGTTATACAATTATTAGCAAGAAAAAATATGCTCACGTTTTATCATATCCCTCCGGCTGGAAACAAGGATCCCATCCAAAATCTCGGGGACCTCTGGGTTCCACAATGTGTCCCTTGTTAGATTATAAAGTATAAGTGGATGTATATGAGGGGGCTTAGGGACAAACTCATAACAAAAAGATTCAGAGAAAGGCAGACAATCACCTCTGTGATTCCTCTGAAGAGCTGCACCTCTTCATCTTTTCCAGCACAGAAAGCAAAAGTGCACAGAGCCCATGCAGACTTATCATCAAACCCAGCAAGAAGTTTGTACAAGCCTAACATAAAACACAATAAATCAATAGTTATGTTAGATTATGTATGCTATGATGAAAAATTATTTACCTTCAGGCTTAAGCTTATCCAGAAACCATTTTCTGGAAGCAGATAACACCATTAGTATATAGTCACACAAACTGTGCATGGACTGAGAATTACACTGACATGTAAGGGCCTGGGAGTCCTCCCAGAGCTCGAAAACACAGGCAAGTGTCCTCCACTATTACAGGTCCATCGATCTGAAGAAAATACAGTTATCAAATTAAATACATACAGGTAAATGTTGCAATAGCACAATCCTTACCTGTCGCACTGCTTCCTTGCACTTTTGAATAGAAATTTCATCTGGTTCTCCTTGATATTCAGGTACTTGAATGACGTTATACATTTAGTTAATCACATAAATGAAAATTAAAGCATTTTAAGGAAGAGAGATTAAATAAGTTTTCAAACTTACGATCAATCTTCTTTGAAATTAATTTGTAAGGAAATTTACTTCCAAGAATCTGAACAACCTGAAAATCCAGAAACAAGATAAATGTGTACACTCATATTGGACAACTGTATCACAGCACTCTAAACAACGCTTTCCTAAATGAAACCATATGCAGTTGGAACAAAAGGCGTGAAGGGCTGATTTGTGCGATTGTTATTTTTGAGTTACCTCTTCGAGTTTCTTGGCATTTCCAGTCACGAACACCACAGATCTTCCTGCAGGCACAGCCATGATGCCAGAGCTCACCCGGAGGACTTGAGGCGACGGACCAAAACACGTGCACACTGCTCACTACTGTCTGCAAAAAATAAATAAATAAAAAATAAATCTAAAGTCCACCTTAAGCAGACAGAAGTTACTTACAAAAATTATTGACTTACCTTACTGGTTATAAAACAAGTACACATATAAACGATCACAGAATATAAGAACTGGACGCTCCGCCTTCCACTGAAATCGTCCAATCGGTGAACAGTACAGTCCCAAATTATGTCCGGGTTAAAGCTGACATGTGGGAAAGTATGGATACTTCCATGAGTTAAATAGATATTTGGCGTTATTGCATTTGAAAAGTACAATGAGCTTGCTTCCTCGCACCGCGGGCGAGTTCAGTTCAGCTGAATACTGGGAAAGGTTTTTCAAGAAGCGTGGAGAGAAGGCGTTTGAGTGGTATGGAGATTACAACAAACTGTGCGGAGTCCTCCACAAATACATCAAAGTGAAAGATAAGGTACGTTGTTTTTCTTTTAAATTTAAACTTTGCATTTACATTACATTTAGACGCTCCAGTACAATAATCTGTTAAGACCATGTGTCAGTTCTATTATATCCAGACCAACATCACATTACTGTTATCATTGACCTCTTTGTATTTGTCCGCAGGTGCTGGTGGTTGGATGTGGAAATTCGGAGCTGAGTGAACAGATGTATGATGTTGGCTACAAACACCTAATCAACATTGACATCAGTGAGACAGTAATAAACCATATGAACCAAAGAAATGCTGGGCACAGACCTGACCTGAGCTTCCAGCAGATTGACGCAACCAAAACACCCTTTGAGGATGGCAGTTTTCAGGCTGTTTTAGACAAGGGCACCCTAGATGCCATGGCATCAGAGGAAGAGGGAGCACTGGCTTCAAGTATGCTTACAGAGGTAATGTATGGATACGTGCAGGATGTAAAGGTGCACTACATATCTTTTCTGATGCAAGCTTCACCACCTGCTTTTCTCCAAGGAGATAATATTGCTTTGCCTGAAATTTTCCACAATATGACATGCATTAAACATATCAGTTTTGCGTTTATTAAATTACAGATCTTTTTATTGCTAAAACAAAACTATATTGAAACCACTGTTACTGTCAGTCAGGTTACCTCTCCACAGATCTGACACATAACTTGGCCTGGTTGCTGCCCCTGCTTGTTTTCCTCGAGATAGATAAGTTTACTGTGGAACATGATGGACAAAGTAATATTGCCAGCGAGACAAGCAGGTGTGGATCCTCCACCAGAGAAGTTAACATAGTACACCTTTACTATATTCTCCCACATTTCCCTTTCTTTCACTGTCTCAGTATGGAAAATCTGTGAAACATTTGTTGGAAAATCTGGAAATTATCTGAGCCATTTAATTATATAGCATTTGCATGTTCTGGTTGCATGTTGAAAAGTGTACTGCAGTCTTTGGTTAATTTTAAAAACCTATACAATATCTGACATTATTGATACAGTTAAAGGCACTTTTTTTTTTCTACAGATGAGTCGAGTGCTGAGTTTTGGGGGCAGATATGTCTGTATCACATTGGCCCAGGAGAGTGTCATAAAGTTAGCTGTAGAGCACTTTGTTTCGCTCGGCTGGGCTGTGAGACTCCACTGTCTGCAGAATGCCACTGACAGCCAAGAGGACTCTTTGCTTTGCCTGTGTTTGTCCTGATCTGCACCAAGTTTCGTCAACCAATGCCTACGCCCATTCTAGAGATGTGTCTTGGGGAGGATGGTGCACCGACTCGCTTCACTCAGGTTTCAGAGCTCCTGTCGACTGTGAGAGAACATCAGGCCTATTCTGTGCTGAGGAAAAGGCTTCGTACAGGCACAGACGTCAGTTCAAACGTCTCACTCACTCTTTGCCACGTAAAGACAGGCCTTCCCAGATATACTCTTACTGTTCAGGACTCTGCTCCTGGAGCCAAAGTGCCCAAAGCCAATCACTTTGCTATTTTTATTGGTGAGTTTGTCTTTGGTGCAATACTATAATACCCTGAACACACATCCCCTTCTGTTTACTGTATCGTTCTATCTCTGTTTCCCCAGTACCACAGGGTAGTGAGACTGCTTGGCTTTATAGTTCTGCAGAAGGCCACAAACAGTTGGCAGCCAGTGCAAACTTCAGACGATTAGTAATTGTTGCAATGCACCGAAATCAAGAGTATGCCAGTATGGAGGCAGTCCAGGCTGAGCTTTCACCCATGGTAATGGACTTGGCTCCTCCTGCTATGCCCCACAACCACCAGGTAGCTTGGTGCATTATGTATATTTTAACATGATTTCTCTTTTATTATTTGTTACATTTAATTGATTGAATTGTTAAAATACATTTCCTCAATTCAGGTGCCTTTTTTGTCAGCTACTGGTGACTTGGGTTGGCGTGATGTGGTCAGCACAGGAGTCAGCAAGCTAAGTGGAGAGTATTGTGTGGAGAATGTCAGAGGAGAAGATGGAGAACTGTATCGAAGACTAGTGTTTTTATCCAATGCTGCTCTTATCCAATCAGAGAGCAAGCTTGTGTCACCAAATACAAGTATGTTGCATCAATCTATTATTTTGATTATATAGCAAAGTCCTTCTCTGTCTTATTTCTCTATTTTTCATTTATTTTTCAATTGTACAACAATAGCAGGCCACAAGAAAAAAGGCAAAAAGAAAGTCAAGCCAACAGTTCCTTCAACAGTGCCCTCCTCTTCACTGTCAGTGAACACAGGCTTTCTCTGCTGTGAACATCATAAACTAATGGTCGCGGGTCTGTCCATGCTTGGAATTGATACACAACCAAAAAATTGTATGATAATATTATCACACTCAGATTTTAGTCATATGTTTTGCATTTTTACATAGCAACTTTTCTTAATTTTTTTTTCAGCATCAGTGCTTTTGGTGGGACTTGGAGGTGGGGGCTTGCCTCAGTTTCTACGAGACTTTGTTCCCAGTGTTACAGTTGAAGTAGTTGAACTAGATCCTGCTGTGTTAGAAGTAGCAAAGGAATGGTTTGGATTCAGACCTGATGAGCACCTGACTGTAACTCTTGGAGATGGCCTTGAACGTATCACAGCTTATGAAAAGGAAGGTGAGAATTGAAGTGTAACCAAGTAAACTTTTCATTGGATCTCCGAGCTAGTAGTAAAAGGACAAGAAAATTATAACTTGTTTTTATTTTTTTGCAGGGCGCTTTTTTGATGCCATAATGTTTGATGTTGATAATAAAGATAACACAGTTGGCATGAGCTGCCCTCCTGCTTCATTTGTTGAGGTCTCAATTCTACAGAAAGTTTATAGACTGCTAACTCCAACAGGTATGATATTGTTTTAATCAAAAAAAGTCATGTTACTTAATTTGTTAGATGTTTATTTTCTATGAAAGCTAGATAGAAAATTGTTAGTAAATGCTATGTAAACCTGAAACTGATTAATAGTAAAAAAAAAAAAAAAAAAAAAAAAAGGAATAATAAACAACAAATATTCTTCTTGGTACAGGAGTCTTTATCTTGAATCTTGTGTGTCGAGACACCCTCTTGAAGAAAAGCCTACTGGAGCGATTGAAGAGCATATTTCCCACCATTATCTCTGGTGACGTTGAAGGAGAAGTCAACCAAGTACTACTGTGTCATAAAGGAGACAATCAGTCACCTGACACTACAAACATTATGGAGTCCCTAGGCCAAGCAGGCAAAAAGCTGCAGACCACACTGGTCTCTGATAAGACTGGCAGCAACCACAGTCCAAATATAGACATTTCAGAGCTAATAAAAGAGATGCAGATTGCATGAAAGTGTTTGATATCAGCATGTGTTTAATTAATATATTTGGACAGATTAAGATACATTGACTCTCAGAATGTATTTTCTCTTGTACAAAGTCAGTAAAGACAATTTTATTGATTTGATTTGCTACAGATTTACTTATCCATATTTAGTGTTTTTCAATGTCACCTCTTGCTTTGCTTTTCTGTGAGGGAATGAATGTTCTCTTTCTCTTTTGCTTAGGCCTTCCCTGGAAAACACAGGCCTTCCTCACTGCTAAAGAATGCTGGAGTGTCATTTACAGTAGTTGAATCGTAGACACATTAGTTTGTTTATAGGTCTGCTGCTAGGCCCTACCCATACAAGATGTGTGTCATTTTAAATAACTTTCTGCAACAGAGGAGGGGCTGCCTTCATGTGCGATACAAGGAACATTTATAATTGGGTTGTAACTTTGTCTGTCTTCTTCAGGAAGGGAGAGGGGAGTTGCCCACCCCAGTTTTTATGATTGTCAATGCGCATGCGCATTAAAATTCACTCCGTTAGCTGTCAATGTACACTTTCTTTTTCTTTATCAAAACTTTGAGGACAGGAGCCAATTAATGCATTCAAGATACATTTGAGGAGCTATAATTATTTTTGGAATACCACTAGAAATTCTTATATCTCTTTCTTTCGGTGTCTTATCTCCGAATGAGAAAGAGTTGGGAAACACGAAAACAGCGGACAGATTCACTCACGTTTGCGCGTTTACGACTTCTTTTTTGGCAAAAAGTTTGAATTGTATTTGTAATTGTAACTTGTGATGGATCTAAACGAGAATCGCCTGTGTTTTTGTCTCCAAAAAACCGCAATAAGCAGTTAGTAAAGTGCTATGTTATGTTAGCTGCGGTGGCGGGGTCCCGCGGTGCGGTGTAGCCCAGGTGGCTTGTTGTGATGGGTAACCGGGGGATGGAGGAGCTCATCCCGCTGGTGAACCGGCTCCAGCACGCCCTGAGCTCCGTGGGCAGCGCGGGGCAGGAATACAGCCTCCATCTGCCGCAGATAGCCGTGGTGGGGGCGCAGAGTGCGGGCAAGAGCTCCGTACTAGAAAACTTTGTCGGCAGGTAAGCCAAACCCAGTGATGCATGGATCAGTGGGTGATGGTGGACACACTCAGAAGTAGGATAAGAGGACAGAGGATCGTCCCATCCCATTACACAAAAGTGCATTGAAACTGAATTTATTCTAGGTCTACAAAATGTGTGATATGTAGTAACAATATTCATAATTTAATGTAAAATGTTTTTTATGTCAATTTAGTGAAAATGAAACGGAAAGAGAGTAAATGTCATATATGTTGCATTTTGTTAAACAAACGCGTCACAACGTGCCCCCTCATATGGGGTTCTCCTAAAAGTGTCTGTTTGACAGAGCCCAGGGCAGAAACTATCTCAACAACCTGCTGACAGGAGGCAGTGTGAAATGAATTGCTGACAAGGTCGTACACACCCACAAAAACCTGCTACTTATTTGTATTGAAACAATGTGAAAGTGATGCATTGTTTCTACAGGTCACTCACTTTATTACATATAACAAGGCTGACATCATGCAGGGACATGCGAGGAAATGGAGCTGAGCCCTGAAGCACTTTCATTTTGTCAATGAGGAATGCTGAATGAATCTTCATCTTTATTTGCCCACAGCAAAACAAAGGACTACTGTAATGATGAAAAGCAAGGACTTTGGCCACAACCATTATCTGATTTGTATTTTGGCCAACTTTAGTCTCTAGTACTGTGTATGTTTATGACTCTATTTGGAAAGAATAACACACACACACACACACATATATATATATATGATGTAACAAAGAATATGAACTTATATGTGTGATGGCATAAAATACATAAATATACACAGAAAAAGGTTCTGTTTGAGGATCTCCTAGATATCTTGCTCAGCTCTGACATTAAAACATTTGGTCACATCTCCTTTTGCTTCCAGAGACTTTCTTCCAAGGGGATCTGGAATTGTGACTCGGAGACCTTTAGTTTTACAGCTTCTCAACTCTGATACAGGTTTGTGCTAAACATTGTAAAATCTACCCCAGGAGCCACCAGATGGCAGTATGATGTTCATGTATCTGTCTTATAGTCTGTTTCCACTTACACTGTGGCTTGGAACGCCATTAAAATGATTGGCATTTATTGGTATCATGACAAATAAAACTCACTGATACTGATATTGTTCTTTTCCAGAGTATGGAGAATTTTTACATTGTAGGGGAAAGAAGTTTACTGACTTTGATGAGATTCGAGCGGAGATTGAATCTGAGACAGACAGACTCACTGGGACCAAAAAGAACATTTCCCCTGTACCCATTCATCTACAAATCCACTCTCCTCATGGTATACAAGTTACAACTGAAATTTGCAGGGTTGTGTAGTCTGTGACAGTGCAGCTGAAATAACCCCAGAATCAAATAAGCCATATTCTATGTGTGTGTTTTTGCAGTACTGGATTTAACCCTTGTGGATCTGCCTGGCATTACAAAAGTGCCTGTGGGTGATCAGCCTGCAGATATTGAGTACCTAGTACGAGACATGATCATGCAGTACATCTGCAAGGAGAACTGCCTCATTCTGGCTGTTACCCCAGCCAACACAGACCTGGCCAACTCTGATGCACTGAAACTAGCAAAAGATGTTGACCCACAAGGTATTACAAAAGTGATTTGATTAGTAGCATGTTTTCTTCTTTTTTATTGTTGAGATAGTTGGCAAAGTTATTGTCAGATTATTTGGAAATGTACAGGAACAAAAAAGACATGTTGTTTTTTCTTTCTTTTCTCATTTCTTTTCTTAGGCCAACGCACAATAGGAGTAATCACAAAGTTAGACCTCATGGATAAAGGAACTGATGCTCGGGAAATACTCGAGAACAGACTGCTTCCTTTACGCAGAGGTGAGTCCAGAGTGTTTGTGTGCAAATGCTACAGTTTACCCTTAAGTGATGTAAGAGGATTAATGCTTCTAATTATTACTTGGTTAGAGACAATAATGGAATATTACCCCTGGTAAACATTTGTCACAGTTTTGCACCAGTTTTTGAAGAAAGAAAGAAGAAGAAGAAAAAAGTTGAAAAGTGCATGAATTAATGCTGAGTTTGAGGGAGTCCATCAAAGAAAAGCATAATTCCATTCATAAACCACATGAAAATTACATTCAAATACTTTTATATGACTCAGTGTTTAGGTTACCTGCCCATGTTTAATCAGGAATTAGAAAACTAGAACACTAGATCCAATTTCATAGCAATATTATAATAAGTGAGTTTCAGTTAAATGGGTAGTCTAAGTAAGACATACTGTATATGTATAATGGAGATATTACATAAATACATTGTTTTGTATGTGTGCATGGAGAAAAGTTGGCAAACTCTTACACCCGTGATTTTATACAGACTTAGTAAAGTCCAACCAGGTGTTTCTTCACAGTACTAATGCATTAGCCATGGAAACCCACTGAAATAACTTTGAGTTGGGGACTGAAACATGAGCTATGTAGCCTAGTACAGAGTACATGCATACAGTTTATTGCTCTGTTAAATTTGAGAATGACATTATAGTACATTATACTATATTATAATTATTCAAACTATGGTCTCAGTTGATTATTTTCTACAGAACTACAGCAAATTCTATACATTTGCAGTTGTTGTCATAGCCTCTTGCTATGGGTGCTTGTCTTTATTTCCTTTGCTGCCTCTTCCTTCCCAGGTTATGTTGGGGTGGTGAACCGCAGTCAAAAGGACATTGATGGGAAAAAGGATATTAAGGCAGCTCTGCAGGCAGAGAAGAACTTTTTTCGATCTCATCCAGCCTACAGTCACATGGCTGCTAGAATGGGCACACCGTATTTGCAAAAAATGCTTAATCAGGTTGACCGATTTTATACTACAGGTTTCAAAATATAGTACATGCATGAAACATTGTGCTAATATGATTTGTTATACAGCAACTGACAAGTCATATCCGGGAGAAGCTACCAGCCTTCCGTAGTCATTTACATAGCCAGCTTTTGTCCTTGAATAGAGAGGCAGAGGAGTACAGGAAATATGTCCCTGATGACCCCACCCGGAGGACCAAGACACTACTACAGTCAGTCTACTTTGGTATACATGTTCTACTATCTTTATACAAATGCTATTATAAAACTACTATGGCTAATACATTTGCAGGCTTGTTCAACGCTTGGCTGTTGACTTTGAGAAGCTAATTGAGGGTTCAGGTGATAAAGTTGACACAGAATATTTATCTGGAGGTGCCAAGATTAACAGAATCTTCCATCAACAGTTTCCACATGAACTGGTCAAGGTATATTTTTCTATTATTGTAACATTAATTTCAGAGATTCACCAACCTTGTTCACATTTGCAGTTAGACTCGGATGAAAGGGATCTTCGCCGAGAGATCACATATGCCATCAGAAATATCCATGGAGTCAGGACAGGGCTGTTCACACCAGACCTGGCATTTGAAGCGATTGTCAAAAAACAGATCTCTAGACTGAATGAGCCTTGTATGAAGCTTGTTGATTTGGTCAGTCAAGAGCTCATGTCCACTATACACCAGTGTATCAATAAGGTAAACTAAAACACACCAGTCAATCGATTTATTGTAAGTGTAATGGTCATTCTTTTTCCTCAGCTTGCGTCTTTTCCCAAACTACGAGATGAAACTGAAAAAATTGTCAACACCGAAATACGGGAGCAAGAAAATAAATGCAGAGAACAGGTTATTTACAGTACTTGAAAATTTTATACAATTCATTATAAAATGCTTGCATCATTTCCTTCTTGTCTTTTCAGATATTGTTGCTAATTGAAGTACAGCTTGCCTACATAAATACCAAACATGAAGATTTTGTTGGTTTTACTTGGTAAGTGAAACTGCAACTTTAAGCCTGAATACTATTAAACGAAGTTACTAAAAATACTTTTCCTCTTTGTCAGTGCCCAACAGATAATAAACAATAAGAAGACTGCTGCAAATGTTGTAGGAAGTCAGGTAGGATTGATTGTTGTACATCCACGGTACTACTGATTGTTTTGAATATAGCATGCAGTTGTATTTTATCCATGGTTTAATGCTTTGCTAGT